ATGAAGTTCTCTCGACCTATGGCGACCCCCCTACTGAAGCTCCGCGACCCACAGGTTGAAAAACACTGAACTAAAACTTTAACGTCAGTGGTGTTACATTTCGTTCACTTACTTTATAGCCTTGTGCAATGTATATCACTCAAGCGAAAAAAAGATATATATCTATTTTTATATTTCGCTCAATTCGAAAGAGAACAGAATTTTTTCTTTCGAACTGAGCGAGATATTAATAAATATTCTATTGAACACGATAGAGCAAAGCGGCTGAAAGTGAAACGGTCGCAAATAGATTTATGTAGATTACTATAATATTTACATTTTCCTACATTAATCAACATTGTAACTTAATCTGAGTGAATAACCGTAGGTATATAATAATTACCACAGAAATAATTTTTTATATGTTTCTGTGATAATTATTAAAATTGTCAACTGTGCATGTATGTAAAGATAATTTAACTAACTACAAAATTCATTCATAAAATTTCGTTTCTTTTTAAAAATTTGAGACTACTGGCTGCTAGAAAAAAAAATGGAAAGCTGTCCTAAGTACAACAAAGCAGATGTACCTTGGACCGTGCACGTTGTACTTTGGACAGAGCAGGTTCAAATTGAGATTAATACTTTTATTAATTATAATTTGTTTAATTTCAGTTGAATAATTATTTGAAATAATTGGATAATCATTTGAAACTAACAATTCTTTCAATTATTAGCAACAATATTAAGTAAAAGTATTGTTTTTTTAAAAAATTTCACCAATCTTTTTTGTACTCAGTATTGGTTACAATATTTTGGCATCGGATCACAAAATTTTATTGACAGGACTCGTCCTTTCACACTATTCGTTTTCTTCTTCTCCTTCTTTGTGACTTTATCTTTGAGAGTAACTTTTTTTTCATTTTTTAAAGCCTTTATTGCATTTTTCTCTGGTGTGTCTGTTAGTATTTTAGATTTGCCTTTTGGCCCTTTTGTGTTCCTTTTCGTGGCGTGGCTTTTGGATGTGAACGAATCACTTCAGGGGTAATGAGGTTTGAGGAACTTGGCCCACCTTTTCAAGAGTTTTAGAAACGTTTAATGGATGCATTTCAGTTTGATCAGACGACTCTTGAGACCATTTTTTATTCTGCTGATTATCAGTCTGTAAACAAGGTTCTTGGGACAAAAGGGGATCTTATTGGATAGGAGGTTCTAGGAGCACAAGAGGGCTATCTTGAACTGCGGGTTCTTGAAGCAATGAGATGTCAGCATTTCCAGATTCTGAAGATAAAAAACGATCAAATTGTGTAGAAGTTTCTTGGAATAATGGACGATCTGAAATTTTGCTGCCAAAAAGTCAGCATCTGAGAAAATATGCTTATTTAGTAGGTGGAAGTGGGTCCAGTAGCCTTGAAGCTATTGCCAATGTTCGTTGGTGTGAATGCACATGGAAATGCTGTTCCGCCCAAATCTGCAATATCATAAATTGACAAAGGTTTTCCTATATATATGTCCGGGAGTCATAATTTTTTAATTAGCTGCCTGATTAAAATATGTTTTAAATGGTCCAAATACTGATTTGTCCAACGGTTGCATTTTATTCCTTGTGTGTGGGTGTAGTGTAACAAGAACTAGACCATTTTCTTTTGCGAGATGAATTGATAAAATAGAAATGTGACTTTCGTTATTGTCCATGAGAACAATGGCAGGTCGCTCCTTAGAAGGTCTTGCAAATTTTATGAAATAGTTCATAAACATCACAAAAGTGGCTTCATTAGACCATCCTGACGGATTAGCAGCACCTAAAGTGCGCTCTGGTGCTCCATGGATCATGAAATCTTTAAAATTAACCCTAAGAAATATAAGCATTGGTGGAATAAATCTTCCACCAGCATTACAAGCAGCTATCATCGTAACAGTGTTTCCTCTTTTAGCGCTTGTCACTGATTCTACTTGCTTAACTCCAGTTGGTGTCAGAATTTTTGCTAAGCTAAGCTTTACGAAGGGAAAGCTCTTTATAACGTTTCCTAAATAAATGCAGCCAGTACTCTCCCGCCATTTTTTCAGAGTCCCATGTAGAAGGGAACTGGTATGCTAATACTTTTACTTCTTTTAAAATCAATCCGAATTGAAGGTTTGCTGCATCCTTCATATAGTCCACTAGCATTTTATCTTGCTCTTCATTAAAAACTTGTTTACTGTCAGATTTTCGCGTAAATCATGCAATAAGGTGCCTTCTTTCATCATGTGTTGGTAGTGCCGTCTCAAAGTAGTACGAAGAATGTGGAAATGTTCAGAAGCACCATGAAGCGATAATTTATTAGCCTTTACGAGATTAACAGCGTTTTCAATTATTTTTGTATCGATTATAAGTTTTTTATTTTTTTCCTTGCTTCGCGGCATTTAACCTATAACAATATAGCCAATTTGCTTTTTTTAAATTAAAATACCATTCATTCAATAATATATACATTTTCATACTTGAACCAACTTTTTAAATTGAAATATTAACGGAATTCAAAAATGAAAATATTAATGGTTCGTTATTGCCTAATATTTACAAAAATGAAAACCAAATTATCCAAAAATGAGCTTTATAAAAGGTATATCGTAAACTAGTACTTATTCATCAACCTACACGCTTGTTTTAATTAGAAGATCGAATAACTTAAAAACGATCCCTTTTTAGGAGCTTTCTGATTCCTAAATATATTTTTAATTGATTAACAGAAATTTTTAATTCCCACTAAAATCATTTCACTTAAATTAACCTCTATAAGTTTCTAATTGAATTGTTTAAAAATGGCGCGTAAACAGCAACTCTGTCAAAAGAAGTGACGTCAACCATGGAGAAAACTTATTAATGTCACGCGTTGATTCTATTCTATTTTTTTTTTATTGATGGCAAATAGAGCCGGTATAGAATTGGTGTTAAATTAAAGTTAAACATTTTACTTCTTGATTTTTTAAATATATTTCATGATTATTTGACAAAAATATTCGTCAAATAATGTTTTTAAATGTCACGAACTTTTTAACTAAATAAATATATTTTTTATTTATCGGTTGATGTGAGACTTATTTCATTCGCATGTACCAAACGTATAGTCTTTACTAAACCTTTAGATCGCCCTGAAGTTGTTTCGGGCATAGGTACGTAAGAAAATATACATTATCTTTATATGCTTAAAATACCGTATCCCTACGCGAAACAACTTCAGAGCGAACTAGAAGTTTCGCAAGGACTATTTCATTCACTCACAGTCTGGAATGAATCGTGTTACGAAGATATATTTAAAACACAGGCGAGCGAAATGATACATTATATCACTTCAGACAAATGTAACATTTATATCTCGAGTCTATATCACAATTAGTTAATTTAATAATGGTCTGTGGTAAGATTCCAAATGATTATGATTAAATTATTGTTTATATAAAATAATTCCTTAATAACGTATTAAAATCGTTTAACGTGTTGTTTTTGATAAATCCATGTAGAAAGATAGAATTGGTATAATTTTTTTTTGTTGAATGAATGTATTTAAATCGTGTAATGGTTGCCGACGTGAAGTTGGCAGTATTATGTTGACGCAAAGTGCCATTAAAGTTAAGAAGACGAAGAACTATTAGAGAACATATTTTATTATTACGAAAATCTTACGTAGAGTCCGACCAAGAAACTCACGATGAACAACCATCACCAGCTATTAAGTTGTTGAGTGATGTCATTTTTGAAGATTTACAAAATGACTAGTCTGATGAAGGGAATAATAGACCTTTTTCGCATATTCGTTCTATAAGAAAGCTGTTCTAGTAATGAACATACTCTACTCTAGTAATACCCGCGCCTCGCATTCATAAGACCGCTAAAACGGCAAAACATTTTAAAGGTAACTTTGTTAGGCAAAAGTATTTTATGACTATTCCGCGTTCAACAAAAGTATTACAAGTAAAATGATTCCAAAAAAAATCAATATATCTAATAAATTATTTAATATTTTGAAATATCAGACGAGTTATTGTGATCTTACCTTACTCATTAGTCGAGTAAGGTTCATTAATTAAAATTAATTTATCGAATACAAAATCTAAATATATATAACTCAAGGTGACTGCCTGACATAGTGATCTATCAACACATAGCCCTAAACACTGGACGGATCGGACTGAAATTTGGCATGCAAGTAGATGTAGTGAATGACGTAGGCATCCGCTAAGAAAGGATTTTGATCAATTCTACCCCCAAGGGGATAAAATAGGGGATGAAAGTTTGTATGAAACTTTGTCAATTTCAAACCGATCGGGCTAAGATTTTGCATGCCTAAAGTTACTATGACGTAGCATCCTCTAAGAAAGGATTTTGATAAATTGGGGATAATATAGGGGATGAAACTTTATTTTAGGTATTTTACACGGTATAATGATTAAATATTCGTTAGAAATGCTGCTCAAAAAAACTTTACCACGCGGACGAAGTCGCGGGCAGAAGCTAGTTAGATTCTATAATATAAAGTTTTTTAGTCTATAGTAGTGATTCTCACATAGAATTAAGTTTCATGAGTATTGTTATGCCATGGCTCGGTAATTTTCATGCTGCCCACTGACTTAATACTTTTAAAGCCAAGCTGATTAGGTAAAATAATACACATTAATTAATAAATAAAATACTTCTTATGTACATTGTTTGTCACCTATCGCCTATTTAGTTACTAAATTTTAGTGCGAAGTATGGAAGTGCTACTTAAATTTTGCTAAAGAATCAAAAATTAGGTAAATGGAGGAAGTTAGGTTAATATTATACTAAAATCTAATTCCACGCAAGGTCGGAATGTTGTGCAAATAGTAGTTTTAATGTTTTATTTTGATGGTCCAGTACCAAGAACATTAAATATATACGAATATAAAGATATTAATTTTTGTCCGATACCGAGTCGCCAATAGGCCGCGAAACGTTGGTCTATGATCATAACACATCACTATTATTTTTAGCAACTGGCAACATTCAATCAATCGATGACAGCGACGAGTTTTGTCTCGCTGACGACATTTTATCAATAATTATAAAATTTCCCGAAATCTAATAAGTTTTTGTTAATTCTTAGTATTAATTTGAGCCACAAAAATGGCAGATAACGAACAGAAAGCAATGCAGTTGATGGCAGAGGCCGAGAAAAAGTTGAGCTCTTCTAAAACATTCCTTGGTTCACTTTTTGGGTAAGAACAATGTCTTTCTTATTAATTTTGTTTTACGAAAGTCTTCAATAAATCAAGAAGTTATAAACTTGTTAATATTATTAATAATAACAATTATAAACCACACCTGCGTTTTTATGTCTTTATACCATAATTGAATAGGCACATTTATATCTTTGTATTATGAACTCAGTTTACTGGTCAAGAAATCACAAATGAAACATGAAGTCATCAGTTTATTGCTAGTATTATTATCATTACAAACACCATATTTCTTCAGCAGGCTAAATTCTGTTCTGTTATTGCCATTTTATTTAGCAAAATTGTCAATGAAAACCTGCTAATCATGTTATGCAAACTAATGCTCAAGTTACTCTAATAAAAATTGGGCTATAAGCTCAGTGTTGGTTGTCTAATCCTATAACTTTTACTTTTATGCAGTATACTATTAAACTTATATGTCACTGTTTATGATGATGTCTTATAACATAACACATACATTATTTGAGGGAACAGTTTATTTATACATATAAAAGTTTAGAAACATTATGATTACCGTAGTTAATTTATATAAAAATACACTAGTATATTATACTACTAATGTAAAGGTTAAATGAGTAGTGCTTTAACTACATTCAAGAGATCTATTTATTAAAAAAAATATATATAAAAAAAATTGCATTCTATAATAGTACACTATCAAACATCTCTTTAGTGTTAAAATACAATTAACCTGTCTGTTGTTAGGTATAAATGTTTGAATAGAAAATAGGTCAGATTTCCTATTTATGACATGTCACAGAGTAAGATGTGTTTACAGGGCAGTATTTAATAAAATTTAATATCACAGTACTTCTTAGCATTTCTCCGAATGTATAATATTTTGTGAATTCTTACCAGGGGCTCATCAAAAGTAGAAGAAGCTGTGGACTGCTATCTCAGGGCAGCCAATCTTTTTAAGATGGCCAAGAAGTGGGCCCAGGCTGGTAATGCATTTTGCAATGCGGCACAGCTTCATTTAAAAGCGGGTGTGCGTCATGATGCTGCAACCAACTTTGTAGATGCCTCCAATTGTTATAAGAAATGTGACCCAAATGGTGAGTTATACAAATATTATAGATGTTTGCTGTAGTCAACTGACTTAGTTATTTACTCCATGCATATGTATCCTGGTTGTATGTGAAATTTGTGTAAATTGTGTGTTAAAACAGATATTCATTATATTTGATCAACTTTACACATAATAAACAATTTTAATGAATTAGAATGATAGTATTGTATGGGATTGCTTGTATTTATTGAGTTGCCTGTTTTTGTAAATGACTATGAAAGCTTATTACAAAACATCTTTAAAGAAATGTTTTGACTGTTTGGCTGGATTGCCTGAGTATAGTGTCACTGAGTAATAGTGTCACTAGGAGGGAAGAGTCACAAATGCTTGAAAAATTGGTTAGTGCTATTGGCTTTTGGGTAGCTTAATAGTTATAACCAGAGGTCGGAATTAGGTAGAGTTATTTATGCATCAAAATGTTGATATTAATGTGGACCTTCCCGGGATTTCTTTATTTCTTCTTTATTTCTTCTTTCTTTATTCCATTGATGTAAGTTTGTCAACGTCGTGCGTGCAGTAGTTTAAATTGTGTAAAAGTAAATAACTTTTTATTTAAAAAATCACAGGTGTTTTTCTGCTCTTTAAAATTAATCTCGGGATTTGAGGCATATCCACTTTATTCTTTCGCTGTATGAAATCAGTGTAAGTACATGAATAACTCTACCTTATTCCGACCACTGGTTATAACAATCACTTTGATTCTGAAAAGTTGAGTGTTTGAGTCCCATCTCAGGATACCTTGGGCCGCAGCATTTATTAAACATTATATATTAGAGATATTCCTTATGAAAGAGCTTTTGTTTGTTGTTAGTTTGCCAACTGCAATGGTAATTACTAAGTGCTTGAAAGAGTTTGGCTTATTAATTGAATTTGATTGTGTAGACGGGTAATGTTTCTGTTTTACATCGCACCAAAATCCATTCGGACTTAATTATAAATGCTATAGTTGTGATATAGATTCTTTTTGAAATTAGTTCATATTTATATAGACAATATACAATGTGTAACAGATAATGCACATCCTTATACAGCTCAATTAGAAAATGCATTTATAATCATAAAACCAAAATTGGTATTTTACTTTTATGTACTAAAACATTGTTTATGTTGCGGGGTAACAGTGTGGACATCTTACAAATCCACATAATGACGTTAAAATTACGGCTTAGCTTGCAACTACAAATGTATATATATACACAACGACAACAACGATACCACCTACCTACCAATAAAAAATTTCAACTTTATATATTATTCTGTTTTGAGATTCAAAGTTTTTTAAGTAAACAAATTATTATGATTATTACTTGTTATTAGTATCGGTATAGTCTTGTGATCACATATCACACGGCGAGTAATCGAGTAATGCTTAAGGATCGAGCCTAATCCTTAAGTATTTTGATGTATTTATTCTATGTAAGTATAACTAAGAATCATCGCATGTGAAATTGAAAATCCTATAAACTTAAATCGCGATATAACAATTATCCACTGCCACTGTCACGTTTGACGCATATGCCATGTTTATCTATGGTATATTATTTTCTCCATGTCTATGGATAATTCTACTCTATGGTATATGAACTTGTGAATCATAAGAGTTTCAGAGAATTTTAAACTCAAGACATATTTCAAGAAAGTTCAGTTGTCATTGTTTTTTTTTTCTATGTTGTATTTCATTACAAGCTAAGAATAAAGTGCATTTTAAAAAGCCTTATTATTACATTCAATTAGTTACTTGACCATATTTTACTTGACTCCAATTAAATTTAGTAAGAAATTACCTATATTAGAAGTTGTTGAAATCAAATCAGTATCTGATTTTAAACAAACTATTTTCATAATGTGCGTTGATAATGTTACATGTTGTATAAATATCGTCTTTAAAAAGTATCAATTAAATTTGAATATGGATGTGAAGGTTGATAATCAAAATACATATATAAAGAATTGCTTTTCAATATTTAACTACCTATTGCAATGTTATAATGGCATTATGAAATAATCTTTACTAATCCTACTGATATTGTAGATGTTCCAATTTGTATGTTTTCTATGTAACAAACGATTTGACTAATTTTGTGGACTTAGGACAGATAAAGTATTACACATTTAATTGACATATGGGATACTTGTCCCATTAAAGAGTTACTCAAGTATCACAATTTTAAGTCCAATTTGATGAATTGTATTTTATAATTATATTTTTTCTAAAAACACAAAACGAGTCTTGATAATTCCTTAGGTAATATTACAGAAATCCTCATGAATCTAATCAGTAAAATAAATCAACCAATTTCATTCATGTCAACCAATTTTTACTTTTTCTTACATAGAGTGGTCAAAATCTGGCAAAAATCGTGTTTTATAATGAAATGACGCCTTTGAATTTTTTTTTTTTTGTGTTTTCAGTCTACTTTTCAATCCTATTGTTTTGTATTTATTATTTACCACACACATGTTGCTTATAATAAAGTGCTTATCGCAACATAATATTATATTTGATAATAGTCAGTCAAGTCCAAGTTTGCTTATGACTCACACTTTCAATTTCATGTGATTTTATCAGTTGTTAGTTGAAGGTATTGATAAAAAAATACATTATTTTGACTGACTGTTACATAAATCAGTAAAAATTCAAATTTTGGTAATCAATTTTTGACCAACAACCAGTGGCGGAGTGATTCGCAAGCCAGATACGAGATGTCGTCATCTCAAGGTTCGTTTAGCGGTTGGGTCAATGTAATAAATAAACTCTTCTATATTGTATTGGGTTAGGGTGTTATACATTCGTTATTTAAGCTTAAATTTCTAGAAATTAAAGATTCAAAATTGGTTGGAGATATGCAGCCTTTTTGTAATAACCAGACATTATTATATACACCCAAGTAACACAAAAGCATGGTAACAGTACACATTTAAAGGATTTTACAGTTTAAAGGTTAATATTGTTTGTTTAAAAACTTCAATAATATCCAAATGCTGAATTGAGTTCAGACTGGTATAATTCTTAGTGCTTGATAAATCCTGTATCTATTTTCTCCCTTGTTTGTGCTTAATATCTGTTTTAGTAAAATTTGAAGTGGTTTAAAGCTGAAAAACAGCTCCTTCGAGTACATTTGTTTGAAAAAATACAGTATTTTTTGCCGAGTATCACTTGAAATAGCTTATTGCTGATTAGAGTATCATCTTCTTAATTTCGCTATATCATTGTATTATACAAAAAACTATTCAAGTTATGGCTTACTACTCAAAACTTTTATGCGCTTGTATTCGGCTTTGAAAACAAAATAATCGGCCGCCATTATTATTAATGCTAATGCTCTTTGACAATTAAATTTACAAGAAATTTTGGACTTACCACAATGATTGAAATCAGTAATTTCGTTAGAAACACTTTTGTATTTTCATAATAAAATATTAGGTATATTTGGTTAAGAAAATACTATTTACAATCCATTATATTGCTTATAATTACGGCGCGTTAAAAAGAACCGCAAAAAACATCATACAATTCACGATAAAAATAATTTGTGCACTAGCAATTAACATACATGAGACCTCTAACTCGTAAATTAAAATTTATTCTCTGTTTTTCGTTTTCCTTTCTTATCTTCCTGAACAATAACAATAAAATGGAGTCTTCCAATTTCACTGTTTGTAATAATTTTGTTTGAATAATGGTGAATTAAGTATTTTCTTAATAATCGAGTTATCGAAGCATAATAATTGTTAGCCATTACTCAAAAGCAGCTCGGTGGCGTAGTGGAGTAGCGCCGCGGCCCACGATCGTAGTCGTTAAGCAACTTTCGCAAGGGTCGGTCACGGGATGGGTGACCAAAAAATTATTATATCGAGCCACTCCGTGCTTCGGAAGGCACGTTAAGACGTTGGTCCCGGCTGCATTTGCAGTCGTTAATACTCTCCAATCCGCATTGGGCCAGCGTGGAGGGTCATGGCCCATCCTCCTTGACCATCCATAAGGAAGGCCTGAGCCCCTGCAGTGGGGACGTAAAAGGGCTGGTGATGGTGATGGTGACTCAAAAGTAAAAATGCTAATAGGTATGTCGACTAAATTTGTTTTTGTTTGTCCGTCAAGTAGAATGTTGAAAAATAATAACACGTATTTTTTATTTTTTTTGCGTAAACATTAAATTACGACGATACCTTGGGTCAAATGTCACATGACGTCACGTTTATGTTAATTTTCTACTACACTGTGACGGAGCGAGCCCCCACTCCTAAAATTTAATGCCTGTTATCTAAGCTATTTCTTGTAAAATTGAAGTAAAAAAAAACTTATCAATTTTTTTATTTTATTTGACTGACGGACTAAATAGGTTTTTGTACCCTGTCGTCATCCCTATTGTAGTGTTAGTCAGCTTCTTCCAAGATGTTATTCAGTTTTAAGCATTTTCTTTGGGGCCTATTTTATTTAGATAATAGCTGAATAGACGATACTTCAACTTTAATTCAAAATGTTTGTGTTACTTGGGCAGTATCGAATCAATGTTGATAAATACGCAAATATTATTTGATATATTACGTAATCTATTGTTATGTCATGTAGAAACACAGGCTATTAGCTATTCACTTTAGGAAAGAGTCGTGCTCAACTTCGATAACATTCAATTTTGACTGACTTGTCGTGCAAACTCTAATACGGGTGTAAAAAAATAAACGAAAATAAATACAAAATATTTTTTTCTTGTCGTCTTTAATTCTTTATTGTAATATCGATAATTTATTATTAATTATGAAAAGTCAAATATTTTATACTCGTTGTCACGTGACCGCAAACAGCGCGTAACGTTACGCCCCTATTACTCATATCAGAACTTTGCCCATTTTCATTTACCTAGAACAAGGCATAGCTTTACTAGTAATCACTTAATATTAAGAATAACTTAAGCAGATTCGTCGTTTCACCAAACCTGTAACATTACGTAATTTAGGTAACGGACTTGCTTAGTTATGCAACGTTTGTCTATGATTTTGTATGCTTCAGTCCCTCTTCTTTTTTAAATGTATGGCATATTTGCGTTTTCACAATTCAGCTAATGTCACCTTAGTGGCCTTTACACGTAAGAAGACACACAAGATTATATATTTTGAGGTTATAATTCAAGAAAAAAATGACGTGATCTTATATTTAGTCGTCATTGCCCATTTATAAAAAGTCCGGTTCTAAAAATCTCATTGTTTATATCTTAATTTTAATATATAAACTCCTGGATGCCTTACTAAATTGATTTTATCCCTTAATACATCCGTTATGGCTAAAGAGTAAACGTATAAATCACATTAATATGCGTAATGTGATTTACACGTCCAACCCAGTGCTAGGCGCTGCACAATGCACGTCGTAATTTTAAGCGTTGCTTAAAGTCGTTATGTGTCTCCTTTTCATTCGTGAAACGCATTTTCACCTTTGACTGAATATTTACTAACGCAGTCTGAATATTTCGAATATTCATCATGCGCCATATTAATTCCAACTTACTGTACGTTGGTCCGGAGCTCTGCTTGCAAGATCTCGGATCCAGTGTCGAAATTAGCCACCTAGCAAATGCTACAGGCCCTGCGCGTAAGGGGGCCCCACGCGAACAGTTGTATTGGCGGTTATGTTTACAATGAAATGTTACAAATCAAGAAAGTGTGTATTCTCAAGCAAACCAAGGGCCCCTCAAAAAATTTGCTACAGGCCCCGTTCTGGCGTAATTCGGCACTGCTCGCACCTTTATCCTATACTTGATCAATGTCCTTTTATACTATGAGTTACGTACTAGAGCTTCAAGACATTACTCGATTAGAAAGAGAGAGATTACCAAGATCTTAGTCATTAAATTACTAAAATCGATCTTGTGAGGTTTACTGCAAAGTTCAATGGAACAGTGGTTAGCAATTTTGATCTCAATCAATGATGTGAAACTAGAGCACCTTTCGCAATGGGCGGTCATGGGATGGTTGATCGAAACATACTATCTTGAGCTCCTCTGTGCTTCGAGACGATACGGTTCCTCTTTGTTTCCGGTTGCATCTGCAGTCTTGAACACCCACCAATCTGCAGTGACCTCGCGTGGTGTCATGGTTCATTCCCAATTCGATTCCACTGAGAACATTAATAGGCTGATAATTATGAGAATTCTATACATATACGAGTAAAGTCAAAACTGTTGGGCTACCACGATCTTGCCTCTCTTTTTAACCATTATGTAACCTATTCTTACAGTCAGCCATATATGCCTTTCTTACCTTAATATAACATCTCTATGGTTGCAACAGTGAATTTCATGAATATTTTGTTCACAGAGGCTGTATCGTGCCTTTTGAAAGCGATCGAAATCTACACTGATATGGGTCGGTTCACCGTAGCAGCGAAACAACATCAGGTAAAGTGACATACTAGATGATACAGAGTCTAGACAAAAATGTGATCATGACACGCATACCTTACTGAGAGGCATGTGATGTGATTCATGATAATACATAATGATAAGTAGCATTCTCAGATTTTCTGCTCTAGTATATATTTTTTATATCAAAGCCTTTTAAATTTTATATAAAATTCTTGTAGGGTGACGGTGACCTGTATATGAAGTATATAGTATGCATCTTATAAATTCAGTACGTGCATTTTTCCTTTGCTACCTTTATAAAGAGTCTATAATGACCTATTAGGAAACTGATTTGAAAACAAACTTGTTTGTATCTTACAAATCAGACAAGCCCCATCTCGACAGGGTTGCGTTGCCGTGTGATTCTGTAAAAATCCCAACACGAATTCGTATTCACTTCCGAATTCACTTCAAAAAGCGGCATCCACTCGATCTTGAATTTGTAACAGCATTTCGGTAAAGGAGATTTTGAAAAAATGGAATCAATACAATTTCTTCACTAAATGATGTGAATTCCGACACATGAGTAAATTCGAATTCGGGTTTGGATTTTTACAAAATCCTTCTACTGGGGTCAAATGGTCATTCGAAAGATACTTAATCACAAAATTCACGCAACAACTATTTTACATGTGATTGCGTATGCGAAGTTTTTTTTTTATATATTTTTTTTAATAATATTGAAAAACAAAAAACTTACCTATCAAATAAAGGCTTGTATTACCTATAGCAGGTAATCAATAAAGTAAATGCTAAATTTATTTAATATATTTACAACTCGTACGTATTAATATGACGCCTGAGGGTCTATTCTAATTTTTCTTATAATTTTCAAATTATCTGTGCATCGTGTCAAGTCCTCCTTTGCTTTATCGAAAAATACCTTTTAGTATTTAGGAATTTCTTTTCATCAAAGTAACTTTTAGTTCGAAAGTAATATAAAAACCCGTTTTCCAGAACATAGCTGAGCTATATGAGACCGAGTGCGTGGATCTGGCTCGCGCGATGCAGCACTACGAACAAGCGGCCGATTACTTCCGCGGCGAAGAGTCCACCTCCTCCGCCAACAAGTGCATGCTGAAGCTGGCCCAGTATGCCGCCCAGCTGGAACACTACGACAAGGCCATACAGATCTACGAACAGGTTAGTTCTATACACACAGCCGGGGCACAGGCAGAACTTCCCTATGGATGGACTTAAAGAAAGAACCAGCCATAATTCACCACACGGGCCCACAGCGGATTAGTGGGTATTAACATTTCCAATGTAGCCGGGTATAAATTATATCCTATGATGTCGCTTCCCGTGGGTGAAAAAAATTCATAGACTAATTCTAAGTAGTCTTAGTAATTTTGAAACCTATTCAATGGAAACAGACAATCCAATCTTTCATCTTTATAATATAACTATAGAGATAGCACTAATTAGTGGTGAAGAAGGTGTTGTTGGAAGACATAAAAACAGGTGATCATGTATGAAAATAAATAGTGATAATCTGCATAATATGCATACACATATCGCACACCTAGATCTAAACTAAGACAACTCAAAAAACTAATTTGGAGGTTTGACAATACATTTGTTTACGTGGCAGGAGCGCGACCACTATCGATTCAACAAAAGAAAGCTAAAGTTATCTAGCGGCTCATCCCCGAACCTTTATTGAATCTGTTATGTTGGATAGATGCGTAAGATCACCGAGAATTTGAATATTGTACTAAGTCAAAACTCACTCAAAATTTTGAGTTGTCTCAGTTTAGATCTAGGTGTGCGATATATTCTTTCTGTTTCTGTATTATATGTGAAATATTTATCTATCAGTCTGGTTGCTTTAAGCGTTGAATTGAGTGTTTAGCTAATAGAACTTTACAATTTTGAATTATCTATCTATATATTTACGTCATATCCCTGGCGGGGTAGGCAGAGAGGACCGAACGCCGCAAAGTACGGGTCCTTACGTACATCTCTCGCCTCATCCACTTTCATTACTCTTCGTACATACTCGCTGGTTTTTATGGCTACTGACATCACCTTCAAAGAGCACGCGATTGATCTGATCGTGAGAGGCCATTCTTAAATCCGGCATTCTTTCTACGTGTCTGAAAGAACGGAACATGGTTCTGTTGATTTTTCAATGTTCTATTAACGAGGGATTATATGTTTATATAAGCATATTATTTGAGGCAACTGAGATAGACAAATTATGTTAGCAAAACAGCTTTATATTCAGTAATACGCATGTGAGTGTTATAAAGCGGTATTGTCAAAAAAAAAATTCTTTACCTTGAACAAATACCAACCTTGGGTAGTGTAGTTGAATTTAAAATTCATAATGCTGACATTTGACCAGACGTTGAAGTATAAAATGCTGAATGTTTTGTATCAACAGTTGACAGCACGTCACGTTGTAAAAAACGTTAAATTTCTCTACTGATTAAATCTTGGTGTATTCAGATGTCTTTCGTTACCTTAATGTTTATAAATCTTTTCATAGATGCACGCGGGTTTTATAGCTTCTGATATCTAAACTATAAGATGACGCTATTCAATTAAAGGGCTAGCCGACCAATTAGACAGTTGTTTTATATGAGGATAATGATAAGTAATTTATTTCAAGCATTACACTTATATACACAATCATAAGTTTAAAATATATAAAATTGAAAATTAAAATATGCAATGACAAAATATAATTAAATCATCGATAAATCATAAAAAAAATATTACAATTATCATTAATACATAAAATCATTCGTACAATCAATACATTAAGTCATTTTTTAACCAGTTGGCTGCGACATATACCTATATAAAAAAGCGAAAGTATTTTGCGGAATTCGATCATTAAGGTTGTGTTTTTAAGGTTAATCTCAATTCAAAATAATCTTTATTCAAAGACTTCTTAAAAGTACTTTTGAATCGTACAAAACGTCATTGCCAGATCAATACATTATAAATAGAGAGAGAAAAGAAAACTATGGTCTTATAATGATAATATAATAATAATGGAAGCAAGATGATTTTTGATACATAATGAGGTTAGAAGTAATCACCGATCCAGTTGCTGGATCATCTCACGTCTAAGCATTCTTATCTGTTTTATAATCGGATACCTATTAATAAGCTTTTGATGGTTTTCACGACTTATCAAATAACTTAATATTATATATCTTCATAGCCACGCGAATGAAATCGCGGGCAACAGCTAGACATGTATATGATGTTGTCAAGGTGTTTTATTAATTGGTTAGATCGCCAAGTCGTCGTTGGACAACAGCCTCCTGAAGTACAGCGCAAAAGAGTACATGTTCCGCGCGGCGCTCTGTCACCTGTGCGTGGACATACTGAACGCCCAACACGCCATAGAGAAATACTGCGGACTTTATCCCGCGTTCGCCGATACCCGGGAGTACAAGCTTGTTAAGGTAACCTTTTCCTCTAGTTGATTCTCTATTACTTAAGTATGCAAACACAAAGTCAATAAAAAAGTCAATGGCATAAAGTTTTATGTCATAATTTAACATGGCATACTTTTGTTTAGCCTAATAATTGTAACGCATAATATTATTTGGCATAAGTTTTTAGGTATATTTTTTTAAGCATACCTACTATTAGCATAATAAATCTTAACCATAATATTCTTACGCATAATTATTCTTAATCATAATGTTCTTACGCATAAATATGCTTAAGCATATTAATATTAAAGCTTAAGTTTTGTAGGCGTAATTATTATACGCCTTAAAAATATTTAACACTTTTTATCACATACTTTTACATAAAATTGCTCTAATCAAAATGTAGGCGCTTAACATGTGAGATGAGTGGGTAGAAAAAAACGCATTTATTTTTGTTACCGTACCTATTACAAACTGTTTTGTACCTATCACTAAGTGCTTGATTTATAAGTTGTAATTTAAACATTTTTCATTGCAAATAAAGTGAATTAAGTTCAAAATGGAGAATATTGTGCATACTTTTATAACTAAAAGAGGGGCCATTAAATTGAATGTGACTGGATATGACACATTTATGAGAAAAATAGAAAAAGTGAGAACAAGACACTCAGGGAAAAGGTATGTTTTGGAAATTTTGTGTATTCAAAAAACTACTTTTTCTACATAAAATAAACATGTTGGTGGCTATAGGTGGCCCAAGAGCCACTCTCGCTGCAACCTAACCTACTGTTACACGAAGGTGTCCTAATAGCTAGCTACTAATACTACTAAACGATATGCCTAATAACATTATGCAAATAAAAGTTAGGGCAAAAAACACTAGTCTAAACTATATTTATGCCTATTGAAATAGTATGTCAAAACCCAATTATGCCAAAAAACTATTATGACAAAAAAGAGTATGCGTAACTCGTTATGCCAAACTAAAATAGGATAAAAAAAATAGTCGAATGAAAGGGATCCCGTCAATATGTCAGATTATACAAATGTCCCCAACTGATTTTGAACCATAATTTCAAAGCTTATATCAACTGCGGAAATTTGTTATAACAATCGAATACAACAAAAATGACTAGTGCGCGGTCACAATATCGTAATATTAATCTTTTGTGTATGAATTGCAAAAAAATGGAATTAACAGACGATATATCCTGAACATGTCAGGTTATATAAACAACTAGAGTTGTAAAACTACGATAAGAATAATTTGAACGTATAATATGTAAATATATATATACATAACTTACTTGAGTAAATCTTAGAAAATATCTATGCATATGTTAGCTATTGTCAAATAAATTTAAAATTTCTCATACTTAAATATGATCGAATATTACCTACCTATCAATAACATTATTTTTTATAGTTCAAAAGACAACAAATACCTGTCACAAGGTATTTTATTAATATGAGTAAACATATTTCTTTATATTTCCTTATTTATACTTATCTGCCTAACTATAAGACAAAATTGTAACTGGGATACAGAGAAATAATTTTTTATTATTATTATTTTATTTATAAATACCAATATTTATTAAGTAATATTAAAAGTTCTGTATTAAAAAATTTTCATTGGTTATTAGACCTCGCAACTCAATTAATTATATCTTCCATTAGGAACTAATCGAACACCTCGAGGAACAAAACGTGGAAGCGTTCACCGAAGCTGTGAAAACTTACGACAGTATATCTCGATTGGACCAATGGTACACGACTATTCTGGTCCGCATCAAGAAACAGATCAACGACAATCCCGATCTTCGTTGAGGCCTTAATGCCCCGCCCGCCGTCAACGCAGCGTGAGTTGGTCTATGCCCCCTATAAGTTGCTTAAACACCTTATTATACTCTATGCTACGATAAAATAAAAAAGAAAAATGTTGATGTTAAAAAATGGCGGCTTATGTTTGCTGCCATTGATTCGTTGCGTTTCCATAACACTTCTTGAATTTTTAATAGTGATTTAGAATCTATATAAACGTAAGAAGGTTCAAATATTAGAAAAAAATATATGGTTCTCAAAAACACATTTTGACTTTTTAGAAATCTGTTATGTATCTCTTGACACCAAAGAGAATTGATATTTGCATGCAATATTGTCCAGACAATCGCTCTTATTTGTAAAAATAATAAAGAACACATATTACATATTGCAAAACGACATTTGGCTTTGACTAGTTTCTCATAATCATGAACAATATGAAAGTATATTGCTCAGAGTCCTTGTACAGTCAACAGGATGTCAGGTTATTCAAAACTGACAACATTATGCTTTTAATTTAAAAAAAATTAAGGATTGAATGTAGAGTTAAAATTAATTGTGAGAATTTGAATATATTTAAACATATATTTCAATGACATGAATATATCATAGATAAAATATGATGTCCTACTTAAATTGGCTATGAGCAAGTTTAAAAAGAATTAATATTATGTATTTTATATATTCCATTAATTTATTTGTTATTATATATATAATACAGTCATACGTGTGTAAAATAACTGTAGGGCAATGTTGTTTTCTCGTGGCTATTGAGAATTTGAAACTGCATGCGTGAGAATAGATGTTGACGGCAGGCGTTAATATTTCCTTTTCATCATAATTATGTAGTTCATTAAGCCTATTTCATTGTAATAGTTAGACAAGTATCACTTATGTTACACTATTGCTTGACAAAAAAAATAATATAGTGTTTTAAACACTATTTTTTGCTGTCTCAAATGGAAAGTTATTGGTAAACTCACTGCCTTAGCGATTATAAGTTACAAGTATGTGGTCGCTGAGCTAGCATATCGATATAACTTTGACGGTTTAATGGATCCTTGTTGAATATTAAAATCAATTCAAAAATTTGTCTTTAATTGTAATTTTGTATAAAAGACTCCATGGAAACTTTACTCATTTGTTCTATAATAATTATAACAAGATATACAGGGTTATTTCCTAAAAAAATCACAAACCTCGTAGGACTTGATGGCTATCATAATAAATAACAATGCTCGTTTTAGAACTTTTGATAATTCGTTACATAAAAATATTTTTTCGTTTAATTTATCTATGGAACATTAATAACGCACTACGCATAATCTAACCTCCTTTCACTCCACACACAAAAATGTGCTCTGTTTACCGCTTAACATTAGCTAGAAAGAGAACAATAAAATAGCATCAAGTGGCGCTGTTAGATTACCAGTGAAGAATGTTCTTATGTCATTTTTAGTATTTTATTTGTTTCTAGTTTCTAGAACAGCAGACGTTTAAATGTTACGACAGTACAACTAAAACTTGTAAAATCATTTGTGTTCAAAATATTGAGTTATGGCAAAACTCATTAAGCGTTATGACGTTAGCTATACCAATAGTACTGCGCGGATGTTGACGCTTTGAAAATAACACTGTATATGCAAGTCTACAGCTATAACATAAAATAAAATTTTTAAAGAATTTAATCGCGTACATATTTTAAATTAAAATTCTAAAATAAATTAAATATGTGTATGTATCTTCGTATGTAGTTACTGTAGCGTTTCTTAACTTTTATAAGTAGATTTATAGTAGATTTTTCAAAAGTTCGTTTTTGAAGCTGAAATTGTACTTAGCGAGAGTTCAAAGGAAATGTCGATTAGATGTTTATCATAGTGTTAAAGTTCTCAACAAAATTATTGGTAAAAATCATGATTGTAATTTGTGATTGATGAAAACCTTATAACCTTATATATATAATATATATATATATATATATATATAACCTTATATATATAATATATATATATATATATATATAACCTTATATATATAATATATATATATATAAGGTTATATATATATTATATATATAAGGTTACGGAGACCATTTGCTGTTTATTCCTTTGATAGGTTTCATATGTTTTGATACTATACTGGCTCTATTCATACAACTTATATATTTATCATATATACAATAGTGTAACATAAGAATTTTCTAGTATTCAAATTTAGATCGTAATCGTATTTAGACTAAGTTGGGAATAAATTTATTAGTTATTTTATTTAATCAAAGCGATGATTTCACAGCTATTGTTCCGTTGTTTAAGTACATCAATATCTTGGAGTCCGAAGGTACTCCGGTTGATATTTGTTTTTGTATTCGACATTATTTTAATTTATTGTAACGTGAGGCGGCCTCATTTGTATATGACCGTAATTTATCATTTAACTTGTTAGGGTTTGATCACACGTGACGGTTTACTTTTGCGTTTTGTCAGACGTTATCATTCCATTAAAAGTAGCTGTGTTGACTCGGTAGTTTAAAAAATTCTTTTCTCTTAGAAATATAAGAACTTTTATATATTTTTTGTCTCGTCCGAACGTTATATTAATTGAGGATTTCTATAAATTGTCTCCACTCGTGTTTCATGATTTTCGACATTTGTAAGACTTTCCTGCAGGTCAATTCTACTAATGTACATATTATAAGTGCAATGTCTTCCTCACACATCAATTGTTGCAGATATTTAATAATATAGGACTTCAGGTGGATAGTACAATGGCAAAGTGCAAGTAGTTCAGATTCTATTGAGATACAACTATTACGATAACATTAGCCGAATTGGCCTGCTGGTTTGGCGTTACATATTTTACACTAAGAAACTATTTAATTGCAAATTTTTTGACTTAACATTTAACAAAAAAGAATATATATATGTATTGGATCTTTTTTAAATTTATTTTTAGTCGTTCAAATTTGTTGTATGTGTGTTCTGCCGTCACGTGTGGTAAAGACTGCTTTGTACATATTGGTAACTGTCCCTGCCAGTTACAACGAAGGGATATGCCCCATCAAATCGTTCAGGGCATTTACTCTCATTTAGAGTTAATGTATTTAACGTTTACTTTTTGTTATTGTAAATATTATATGTTTCGTTATTAATAATAAATTTTATATTTTAATTCCAAGTATTTTTTTATTTGTATTGTTTTATCCTTTTTTTTATACAGGCATTGTTTTAGTAGTGGTAAGTGGCTTCCTAATGTCTTTATGAGTTACACACGTACGTTTTAGTCGTGAAGTGTGTACGTGCTTCTAGAATAAAGTTGTATGGGTACTATTTTATGGAAGATCTCATTGTTTATGGTATGAGAATGAATATTTATATTATTAAATAAGATAAACGCCTTAATAGGCTTACTTTCTGGTAAATACAGTACAGCATGTTACATCTCTAAAGTAAATATAAATATTGCCAAAATGAAAACGTTTGTTTGAACACATTTCAATTAAATTATTTTAAAACATTTGTGAACTTTAGCAAAATTATAAAAGCACGCTTATATTTTTACTCAAATTTATGTTAAGTTTGCTATAAATATTTTCCAGTTGCAATTTGGAACCCTAAATTGATCATTTATATCTCGAATAAAACGCAAATGATATAATTTATGCTGGAATAAGAATATAATGAATAACGGAATATGATTAATTAAGCGTAAAAACGTGAAAAAGAATGTTTTTCTTCAAGCTGTATAAATATTACTTTGCAATTTTCGTTTTCAATGAGAGATGTGACATGCTTTTATTGTGTACTAAAATAGAGTTAAACTTTCGCATAATCGTAACGGCAAATCACATTGTATCGGCACACGGATATTATTCGTTTGTAAAAATAAAATTATTAATAAAACAAAACTAGTTTTATTGTTAATACCGTATTACATATTGCAAATTGTATAATAACTGCAAGAACTAGAAATTATTGATTATTTAGGGGCAACTTTGTCTATGGAGAAAATTGGAGGTTATTACTTTGTACAAGTTATACAAATCTGTCAATTTTCTCATTTTATTTCAAACTTTTTAGTTATGAGGGTAGAGTTTAAAATCAACTGTAGAAATTTGACGTATTATGGTCACCTGACGTGCAACCTGGTTTACAAAACTAGTTGAACAATAGTGATTTTGGGTATACGAACTCGAAGAATTCTATCCATGGCCAATGTCAGAAGCGGCGTAAGGCGTGACCCTTACACACAAATGAATATTCTTAAATTTTTATGTTCCAACCTTTTTGTATTAAAATATGTTGTACATTAATAAATAAATAACATAACAATATTAAATAATCATTTTTTTTATTGTAAGGATAATTGAAAATGTAACTTTTTAAAGTTTTAATGGACATATTGGACATCACACATTAATGTTATTTATATGCCGTTTGACATTTTCCGAGTGTTTGCCGTACACGTGAACTTTCTCTTCGCCGTTGCGTACCATATCATCAAATAACGCAGAATCTTTCTTAACGGTATGATGAGACGCTTTTTCTAGATTTTTATTATGTAAAGGTATCTCATCTGCAGACGTTCCATATCCATGTTTCTGTGCGAACAGACCGACGACGGGGTTATTGACAGGCTTAGATGTGTCTGTTACTTTGGTATTATGTAACGCTTTAACTAGGGCTTCTTGTACAGTACCTTCCGGAACTAAAACGTCTCGAAATTTAATTAATAGATTGGCCAAATCTTGTCCCATTTCTAATTTTCCACTGACCTTTATCGAGTAACTCCATGTGAATGGTAATGCTAAAAAAGTATGCAAGATGGAATATACAATAATTTCGTTATGTTTTTAGCTAGCATTTTCATTGTTACAAAATATCTCGACAGGATATTTTTTTGCTATCAGAATGTTTAAATATAATTTCGCTGTATATTTATCCTACGATGTTATTTTATCCTTACTCATCCTTTTTATGTTCCTTACTTAATTCGCAACAATTTAATTCATTTTGAATTCCTTGTTCAATAATTATCAGTATTCCTAGCTCACTCTTTTTTAAATCATCTTAAACATTTAACCTTTTGAGCCCGGGTCGCAGAACGCCGTAAATCGCTTGTGCCGGCGGGCTATTACGTTATCGCGCGAGCGGTACTTGACATCGTACTTTTTTGTTTATAACAGCTCTTGGTGTTTGTTTTTAGAAGATCATGTTACTTTCTTTGAAAGCCAGTATTATAGCCGATAAGTAGAAATAGAAATAATAATAGTTGAGTGTTTATTTAATTTTGTACAGCTCTTTGTTTCAAAGAAAACTAGAAAAAATCCGGTTTGTTGACAATAAATCTATTTTATGAACAAATACATCACGTTTTTATATTTGTTTTTATGTCCCTACATTCTCTATAATATGGTCTTTCAAAATAAAAATGAAAATATACATGTATTCATTATTGAAATTATACTTTTTCACTCGCAAAGATACGCTAAAAATTAGTGTTGAAGAACAGATTTCGCGCGCGGAGAGCGCTCGTTTTCAAACCCTTTTTATGAAAGTATTATAGCGTAATCACTATATTTTTTTATATTATCATATACATACAACATTCAATAATAGTATATATGTTGATACATAACTGTTGAAGCAATAGATTTTTCATAATACAACTAAACATCTCAAAGGGTGTATAATTCCATAAAAAACACAAGAGTTTGCTTTTGATCGTATTTATGTATGATAATCGTCTTATTTCGATCAACACTATCTAATCTAGATAAATAAACATAACTTTCCAATTATATCACAGAAAAGCACTCAGATAATCACAAAAGTTCACACTTGAAAACAACACAGCACCGGTATCAACCTTTTTTTTTTCTTTTAAACTGAGTAGAATGAAGTTGCATAGAGTAAATTTAGACCATGAAGCATACGTTGGTAATGTTACCAACGCCAAAAACAATCAACAAAGGTATAAAAAATGAATTGACATGAATTGACATGAATTCACGCCCGCCGGACGCAACGGAACTTTTGTTGGGCGTGAATTCACGCCCGCCGGCCTCAAAAGGTTAAGAAATCCGTGTACGGTCTAAAATTCTAAACAATATTATAATATATATGTTTGGTGTAGTTGTGGCCATTGTTTTGATTCTAATGTAGAGTATATTGTTGTGTATGCATATTATAAATTGATTTGATTTCTGTTAATAATTCCCAGAACATTACCTCTACTAATTTTAATGAAACGACGCCGAAATAAATAACATAGTTATAACAGATGCTACCTTATCGTTAGCTCTTTTAAGAAAGCGTAGAAAAGAGAACAAAATACTCGCTGAATCGCTTACTCATTATATGTCTGTTGCACGTGCGAGTTTATTATGAACTAGTGGACGCCCGCGACTTCGTCCGCGTGGAAGTCGGTATCCCGTGGGAGTGAGAAGTTTTCCCAGTAAAAAGTACCCTATGTGTTATTCTGATGTATAACCTATATTGCTGTAAAGTTTTATCCAAATCCGTCCAGTAGTTTTTTCGTGAAAGAGTAACAAACATCCATACATCCATACTTACAAACTTTCGCCTTTATAATATTAATAGGAAGTATCAACCTGCTGCAATGGTGGGTTATACTCATTCAACTTGATTCGATTGCATTAATTGGGAAGATCTATGCATCAGTAGTGAAAACATTTATAAGTTGATGATGATTTTTTAAAGTTTAATAAAACATGTAGGAAATAATACTTTTAAAAACACGCACACTTCATTTATAATTTAGATAAGTATTTCTATTGTATACATAGTAATTTTCCAAAAAAATATTTAACATTTTTGTGCTATCCATACTTTTTTTCAGTAGTGTTTGCAGGATGAGTGAGAAATAGGTTTAGGATGAATTAAGAAAAATATTATTATTGGTTGTTAAGAATACTAGTTGTGTAAAAAAATGGGATGAGTCGTCATATTATTAATACGGAATAACCCTTAACTATGAATGAATTTTGTGATGTGAATTCAAAATTTTAGAATTTTAAATTGATGAAAGAATTTGTTCAAAAAACTATCCTTTTAGGGTTCCGTAGCAAACAAGGAACCTGTGCAAGGAACCCTTGAGGTAAGGTAATTATTAAAAAAAAACTTTTTAGGGTAACTCCCTTACATGTACATATTTTTTCTCGTCTTCTCCATAGTGTGGGCATCGTTGGATAGGTCTTTCCAAACATTGGGGTGTAGGAAGGCCGTTTTTCGATTTAGTAAACTGGCACATTTTCGTGAGTCAAGTGTCAAGTCAGGGTAAAAATTAAATGTTACGGCAGAATTAAGCAGTTACTTATATATAAACGAAGTTAAAAGGAAAAAAATAACTATCACACTTTAGTTGGCGTTACAAGTTTACGTGTATTAGTCGATCAATTTTTAATGGATACCTAAAGGTACAGAACCTTACGTGCGCGAGTCCGACTCGCACTTGTGCGGGTTAATATTATAATATCTATTTAACCATTAAGATATTTTTTTATAATTTGGAAGATTTAACACTTACCTATGAGTAAAATGAAATATAGAAACATCACGTAGGTATCAGCTTTTAGCAATGGATATTTTATGATTACGGTTGTATTGTACGAACATACGTAATTATAAATACAGCTAATTAAAACTTAACGAAGCAAAGTATGGGATTTATTTATTTATTAACTGTTTATCACCTTTACGTCATCGTGGAGCTTGATGGTGCAGTGGTTGCAGATACTTTAACTTAGAACGTATGCTCTAGACCTATAGACCGTATGGTGAAGACCGCGTCGGTCGTCACGTGATAAGAAGACACCTGAATATTTCAGAGACAAGAACTCCAGAACACTTTGCTATTTATTTGCATAAAATCACAAAAATAATTAAAAATACCACGCGTCGTGCGCAACATTAAGTCGGCGACCGTCGGTAAGTCGGCGACCTGACACAAAGAGTAAATAAAGTATGATGGCAATTGAAAACGATGCTAGGCTTGCCAGACCGCCGGGAAATCCGGGATTGTCCCGGAATCTTGCCTCTTGTCCCGTGTCCAGTAATTAGCGCTTATTGTCCCGGATTCTGGAAACATTATTTTTTTACAAAATAAACTAGCAACGAATGACACGGCTGCCGGTGAGCGGGTGCGGGAGGCGCGCGGACGCGGGAGGGGAGTGCGTGCAATAGTTTTACTTCACTCGCCCACCCGCCCTGTGTTATATTTTATGTACTAAAAATTTTTTTGTTACTAACAGTCAAGTACTGATTGTTTTTTATAAGTTAGGAATTTATTGTTCTAAGATTTTTTATGGTAGTATCTTATTATCATAGTTTTTTTTCTCCAGTTTATTACTATTTAATTTGTCATTGTCTACCAAATTGTCATTGTCAAATGTCTACCAAAGTTTAAAAATGGTAATTTAAGCGAAGTGCTCAATTAGTTTAACGTGTGATTTACTACCACAGTGTTTCATCTCAGAATTATAACTGGAGTTAATTATCTACTTAGTACATACCTATATCTAATAAAAGTATGTATTTGAAAATAAATGGCATTTTTCCTTTTAAATACAAATACGAAAAAATATATATTTAAGATATTTTCTATTATAACCACGAGCCAACATTTTTTTTTGTAGAATTGTCCCGGATTTGATAAGTTACTATCTGGCAACCCTAAACGGTGCTGTCTTAGTTCCAATAAAATATTAGGACTTTTGTTGTAAATATAATTTATTTTTTAAAAATATTTGTTTTAGTGATATATTTAGTACCTATATAAATATCACAAAAAATGATGAAATTGAACATTTAAAAAATAGAACAGTCTTCAAAATTTCAAAAAGTGAAAAATAATTCTTATCTTTAAAACTGTTAATTTTTTCATAAAAACATTTATCATTTAATAAACTACAGAAAACCTCAGCCCAACTTAAATAGCTCTTGAAAAAATTACCCGCTTTTAAAAAAAGATTTATTTTCCACCTTTTTAATATTTGAAGTTGGTTCTATTTTTGAAAAATGTTGTATATATTTTTTATCCAAAACTTATTTAGAGTCATCTTTGCGATGTTTTCGAACGAGCCAATTATTAAATGTATGTTTCTGTTTTTAACAATATGTTTCTGTTTTTAAATATGTTTAATTTTAATTTGACAAATATTGGCATAGCCATAGAATAAAATTGGTTTAAAAAGTGTTTATTTCTTAAAACCTCACCTAAATATGTAATAGCTAATTTTAATAACCTTAACTATTTCCTGAAAAGATAATTCAAAGAAAAGAAATTTTTTATTCTCCTTTAGTTCGTAGGCTAGGAAGAAGACGTATCTATTCCCAAATACAACAAACAGTTTTAAAACAGAACTTGTATATAAATAATTCAATAGTACCAGTTCAGGGGTTGCTCATTCATATGTAAACCTGAATATAAATGTACCGATAGTCGACAGTCAAATTGTGATTGTGTAGGTACAGTTTGTCTAAACTTAGAGCGATCGACGGTTTGGTTCGATATTTGTTAAATTATAATTCTCCCAAATTATAATATTAAATCGGGTGGGAAATTACGATGTATCAAGAGGCAGATGTAACACAAGAAGCTTCTAAAATAGATAAAAATAACTTTTCCGCATCCATTAGTGATCTTAAGAAGAAAAGTTTCGTATCAGCAGCTGATGTTCAAAATTATGGTAAATTTTATTCTGTGTATACTATTTAATGTCTGTGGTTATACCTAGTTATCGTTATTGAATAAATGTTATATAAATTATAAAATAATAAAGTACTTCTTTCATGAGCGACTAGCGCTACAATAATACGATTTGGATTTTCTCCTTATTTCCATAAATTGTAAAAAAGAACTTGCAAATAAATAATAAATGGCATTTTTCGATTATGAAATGGGCATTATAAATTATTAAAAATATAGAGTTTCTTTTTTAATTAACTCAAATTGCAGCCGTTACGGTTTGCCCCTTAGATTTGGAGGCGGAAAATGGACAGAGATACCCAAATATTAAAATATATTTTAACGAAATCTTTAAAAGTAATTATAAAGTACGGCAAATTTTCTGTCTATAGGAGAGAGCAGCGTGACTTTAGAGTACTTGCGAGCCCATCGTTGCTCCTTGGATAAGCCTGATGAGTTTTGGACTCAGGTTGGCAATGAACTAGAGTGGACTAAAACATGGGATAGAGTTCTCGATAACACCAATCCTCCTTTTACTAAATGGTAAGTGGTATCGTACATCCACCAATGAACCCATTTATAGATATAGGTACCTACTGTTAGTGACGACGACAGACCTAAATAGCGTTGCCTTAAATTTACAAAAAAATCACAGATTTTTAAGTTGAAAAGCCAGGAGAGTTCCACGACGTAGAAATTTAATCAATCCCGCCTTACAGTGCAGTGTAAATACTTGTGAGTCATATAGACGCTGCCGTTGCATGAATTTTAAAATACTATCAGGACGCTTGGCCGGCCTGCGACTACAGTTTAAATAACCTTCGCAAGAGGCGGCCATCAGATGGGTGACCAAAATTTATTATCTGGATCTACTCCGTGTTTCAAAAGGCATGTTAAGATGTTGGTCCTGACTTACCTGCTGTCGTTAAAGTCCACCAATACGCAATTGCCCATTGTGGGTCATCATTGGCCATCTTCCCTATCCAATTCAATACCATCACAGAACAATTTTACAGGTGGGTTGGGGGTGAAATGTCAGTTTGTCACAATGCTGTTGACCGTCACGTGGTTAGTGGTAAAGGAGACCAAGTCGCTTTGATCCACGATTCACCTCTCACTAACAAAGTACGCAAGATAACCTACAGTGAACTTCAAGATCAGGTAGGTAACTAAAAAACCTTTATTTTAACAATTGTTAGTGGGTAGGTAAATATCCCAATTTTAAAATGCCTAAAGACTCGACTTTTCTTTGTATGAAGAATTTTCATTTTTTCTTTTTATTTAGAAACAAACAGTTAACAGAAATACATGAATGAAGAAACTTGACAAACATGAACCTTTGGTTCCTTTGATTTCTAGAACAAAGAAACGGTATACAAAAACGACAATAGACGAACACTATTTGTCTTAGATACTCCATAATACGGGTGCTTTAGCTACTCATCTTCGATTCTTAGTTTGCCAGATTTTTTTTCATCCTATAAGGGACAAATTCTCAAATAGATAAAAAATGAGGAATTCTATTATCCGGGATAAATAAAAAACCAAATTATTTAATTCTAAGATTTTTGTCAGGGGAATGCGCTTCTTTTAATTTTTTTAAGATTTGAGAGATAAAAAAAAACAATGCAAACATAATGATGATTAAATAAGCTCATTAATTGATTTTTAGTGACAGAATCCGTCCTGGCTGCGGCAGGACGTTGAATATGCTTGAAATACGGGATGTCCCGTGAAATACAGGATGTCTATATTTTTGAAGAACAATAATGACACATCAAACTGGAAGTTCAAGTTTCCGAGAATCACCTTTATATAAGGAATCACCAATCTATGATCTTAAATATTTAAAAAACAACCATTGTTCGCGTTGGATGTCTTAAATGTGGTCTTGCTGTCAAGGCACACATTGGTGCCTTTGAATGTAATGATTGGCGTTTAGATAAGAATACTAATTATAACAAAACAATTTAGTTAGAAATGTTTGTGACGTTTTTATTTTGTCTAATACGCCATTCCTTGTCTCATTTGATCGTCAACCTCCGTCTATGGATTATTGCAGTCGGGGTCGATTTTAATTTTGTATAATTAGTACCTATTTTTAGAAATCAGCATTTCGATAATGATAATTCTTAAGATTGAAATTAAGTAAGGTGTAAGTGTTCTCCCTATTCTATTCGATTCGAATCTTATGGAAGAAAGTAATATGTATACTCCACCAATCACGGAAAAGAGGTTAGAAAGGCGATCATGCATCCTTTGTACGAAAACCAGTGTCGCCAGTCTTGCCCCACATTTAGTCCGCCGTACATCAGACAAAATATCAGACCGATTATACAAAAGATATGCACACACTTGCATTTTAAACATGCCAATCAGAACGCTCCAATATAACTATAACCAATCACGCTCAACCATAACAGACATCTATAATGCGCAATAAACGTGTAAAAGCCATTTTAATTTGACATATCACACTAGTGATTGACATAAAGTTATTTACTATCGATATTGAAAAACAACAAGTCGATTAATTAAAAGGATACTAGAGTAATGATTTCTTTATATTATTTTGGATATACATTTAACTGTATTGATTAAATGTGACATTATCTTTTTTCTTCAGATATTAATTCTTAATTAGTTGGTTGATTCAATATGAAATATTTAAATTACTAATGAACTAACATTGAATCGGTACTAGTCGAGCTTAAATATTTATTTGCATAAAATTATGTTTGTTTATTAATAATAATAGTAGGTATTTTTTTTACGTTACGTTACTCGATTTCGTATCAAGTAAACAGATAAGATCGGCAACATCGCTTAAATGAAATTAGTAATATTGAAAAACAATATAATGTATATAAATATATACAAAATAAAAAAATACTATCAGTACAAAAAATGCTATTGGAACTTATCCTGAACGGATTCCGATGATTTAAAAAGTATTGTTGTTAATGGTTCAAAATAAAATAAAAAGATAACTAATTTTTTGTTACAATATTAAGAATATAAAAACAGACTTATTACCACACTCATTATTAAATTAATATATAAAAAAATATTTTTTATTACCACTATTCTTATCGTCCATACTTTTATTTAGTTTCTACTAACTAACACACCAAGAATCGATTAAATGTTTCCAGGCACTTCACTACCCATCTACCGTAATCTATTATGTTGCTCTTTAAAACGGTGATTTCGCGATGTTCTTTACATTACGTGCTTAGTACGACGCAATGTAATAAATATGCGCACTTCTCCAGCAATGTATATTTTCTTGGAAATATTATTTGTGATTCACACTTTTGATAACATTTCACGAATTTCAATTAAAAATACTAAATTTGAAGTGTTCTACTTACTAATGGAAAGAAATCCTTCTTTTGGACCTACTTGAGGATGGGCTTCTTGTTTTGCAATTAATACCTGTACATGTCGGCATTTTTAACACTTTTAAGAAACGTGTTTCACAGTACTTACAGCGCGTGCGTTCGTAAATGACTAAACATCGCGATCGCGTGGTAAAGTCACGATCCTGTACATTTGTCCAGGATCGTGGCTACACTGCCACGCCCACAAGGCCCTTCTAACGTCTTTCTGTATTCTGTGGTATACTCCATTCATTATAGCATGAGACAGAAGTTAAATAAGGTTCTTTTTATTGTATAGTTTGTGATAAAATATCAATAATCATGTTACTCTTAAGACTGACGGCTAATTTGCTACATCTCCACTTAAATACCAGCTGCTATACTTAACTGTTATCATTTAAGCTATCTATTAAACAAATTTATGAGTATTTGACGAACTTAACTATTGCAATAAAAAGTGTGCATCTTAAAGAACCCAAAGAAGCAGGGTTGGATAGTTTCGGCACGATTCTCATGTCACTATAACTCTACCAAATTTAAAACGTTGCCTCATCCCTTCAAACGTTTCGGCAGAACAGTTTTCTAATTTTGTCAGACTATATTGTATTCATAATTGTTAAAATACGTAATCTAGGATTGTCATCCGTTGTGAATGCTACTGTCTTTCTAGTTGTTTTCCCGTTTTCCGTGATTAAGTTGTTATTGTATCTGTTGTTAAGTTTTGTTAAATATTGACGATGCCGGTGCAGGCCCGAGTGGCCTACAACAATTAAGCTTTAATCCCCCATACCTAACTTCAACCTTTGACATTTCAGGAAGTTTATCTGTCTGAATGTCTGAATAAATGTTATAATAACAAATTCATTTTGTTTACCTTACTTTCCTGGGCGTAGATATAACTAAATTCTATTCTAATTATATGCACTTACAATTAGAATTTATCAAAACAACAGATAGATAGTTTTAGTTCCATGTTGGCTTGAGAGTGAAAGATGAATTCAAAGTTTCAACAAAAATATAATATATATTTTTTAAATTCATCTTTAAAATAAAATGTTCTGCGCTGCTGCTTCTATGACCCTCTTTTTTCTAATGTTATAAATAATGAATGGAGTACAGGTAATTTTTGTTTTGTCTAATTAACTAAATATAATATTATTTTTGATATCATTTAATCTTTGCTGCAGCTTTGGTACATACTGTGAGCCAACAAGTGTGTTTGAATTAATTAATAAAATCAGTGTTTCCAAACCTTGTCAAAAATACCTACAGTTTTACAATATCTTTTTTATACTGGCCATTCACTTATTGTTTGTTGTGGTCTACTTTCGCGTACATTCTATGCAACCATCTCATAAACCCGGGTTTATTTCCGGGCCAGATCAATACCTATACAAAACATTGTTCTTTTTACATTGAGATTTCTATTATTTCGGATTTCCATTTAGTAAGGATTTAAGTAACTTGTATCTATTTTTTATTTCTCTATTTTTACTTCAGGTATCTCGTATTGCTGGCAAACTGTCATCATTAGGCGTAACGAGAGGCTCTCGGGTGTTAATCTATATGCCTCTCATTCCCGAAGCTATTATTGCAATGTTAGCTACCAACAGAATAGGAGCCATACATTCTGTTGTATTCGGTGGTATGTATATTTCAGCCTTATGTATTCTCATTCCCATATTTAGTAACTTTAAGAGTAAACACTCTTCAAATAAGCGGTGTTAACGGGTTTATTTACAATCCCTGATTAAAGAACGGGTGTGGTAAGGCTTTATTTGGTGAAAATGTATTCGCTGGTTCGATAGGATTCGCCGCAAGGGAGCTGAGGACTAGGATCGAACATGCGGAGCCTGCTGTTATTATCGCTGCCAGTTGTGGTGTCGAACCGAACAAAATAGTCAGGTGAGTAGATATGATCGAACTTCCGCAGTGATAACAGATACAGTTTTAATGAATAAGTTCAGTATTTTCTATAGATATATAGAAAATCAATTTCATCAAAAATAAAATGAGCAAAAATATTAGATTGGCCAATTTACTACATAGTCTTCAATATTTTTTTACATGTCCTTTGTTATTACATACTTTATTATCTATACTAAAATAAAAACGTAACCGATCGATGTCTCTACATTGAAGATATATGAAAAAAACTGTTATTAGGGACATTTATAAGCGTAATAGAACACAAAACAATGATTTTTAAATTTTTTGTCTGTTCCTTTGTGCACTGTTGTCAGAAACATCTGAACCGATTTATTTGCAGTTTTCACTATTATATTCTTCCGTTAACATTTAGTGTAAAATTTATTTCAATCCGCATTTAGCCTGTATAGTGGGTTATGGCCCATTGATCTTATTCGATTCGACTCCATTCACAGGAAATAAAGAATTCTACCAAAATACTTCCCACGCAGACGAAGTTGCGGGCACAGCAAATAGTAAATATTTTTATAGCTTCATTATTTTTCGCTTTTCTATAAATTTCAAAAGATTGTTTGAATTAACGATTTACGATTTAATTTTAAATGTTACACTAAGTTATGATTTGCAAATGTTCTATCAGATACAAAGACATATTAGACGAGGCGTTGTGTCAAAGTTCACACCAACCAAATACATGTATTATATACCAACGTCGGTGCGTGTTGGAGTGTGCTCTGGAAGAAGGTCGAGATATATCTTGGGAGGTTGCTTTAGAGTCAGAAGCCGTGCCCTGTGTAGCAGTAGAAGCCAACGAACCTCTTTATATATTATACACATCCGGTATGTTAACAATTTCCTATTTTATTATGTTTACTATTTTAAATGTATAATTCGGTGAAGATTTTAATCAAATAATTTGAATATTGGAAATTATTCAATCAGTATTAAGTTCCGTTAAGCATTCATTTTGCGAATGTCATTAGTTTGTATTGAATGAATGAATAATAGTTGTAACTTCTGTTATTCTTTAATAGGGACCACTGATGCTCCTAAAGGGGTACAGAGACCGTGTGGCCATGCCGCTACTTTGTGCTGGACTATGCATGCTGTATATGGTCTTAAAAAGGGAGTTTGGTGGGCAGCTTCTGACTTAGGATGGGTCGTTGGACATTCTTATATTTGCTATGGTCCTTTATTAGCAGGCCTGACATCAGTATTATACGAGGGAAAACCTGATAGAACACCAGACCCAGGACAGTATTTTAGGTAAGACTAAGAGTCTGATACTCAATAATTAAATCTTTGAATGTAATAAAACCTTTAAAAATAATTTACTTCCTAACAATAAATATTTCTTTTATAAATAACAGGATAATAGAACAGCACAGAGTCAACGCTTTATTTACCATACCAACTGCATTTCGTGTGCTAAAGCGGGCTGATCCTTCAGCAAAATATGCAAGAAGATATTGTGGCAAATCTCTTAAGACAGTATTTATGGCTGGAGAGCACTGCGATCAAGATACTAGAGTGAGTTGTTAATTTTGTAAATACCGCAAAAATCTGTCTTTTTGTTGACCCAAATTTTCGAAAGCCGAACAATAAAATGTTCAATTTGATTGGGGGGTGACGTCCCTAATTACTTATTATTACTAAGTGATGAATGCAAATTGTATTCAACTGTACAATTATGACCTATGCTCTGGCACGTTCATTATACAATAGTTAATCGCAGCTAGCTACGTACTTCGGTTCACAATAAAATAGCTGTGTAATGCAAATAAACAACATCAATCGACGTAATATTACTCATATTTACTATATTTTTAGTTATGGGCTGAACGTATTTTCGGTGTACCAGTACTAAATCATTGGTGGCAAACTGAAACTGGATCTGCAATAACAGCTGCTTGTTTAGGTTATGGAGTTAAGGCAGTTCCACCCCATTCTGCAGGATATCCTGTACCTGGATATGATAGTAAGATAATGGATTCTTTCTACAGTTTTATCCTGTTTTTAATTTTTCCTTTTTTTTCTAAATAAATCATATTTTTGTAGTCCGCACCTTACGAGAAGACGGCACAGAGTGTGTAGCTGGAGAAGTTGGCAGATTAGTGGCAAAATTACCGCTACCACCAGGTTTTGCTTCAACTTTGTGGAAATCTGATGAGCGGTTTAAGAAAACGTACTTCGAATCATATCCTGTAAATAACTCATACACTTTTATAAGGAATTCTTCTATTTCTGTTTTAGTAAAGATATTTAATAAATCTGTTTTTTCAAAAGGGGTACTATGATACACAAGATGCTGGTTGGATCAGTGCCGAAGGTGCAGTATGGGTGGTTGCTCGAGCTGATGACGTGATCAACGTTGCTGGTCATCGTCTCTCAACGGCAGCACTTGAAGATGTTGTTTTGAAACATGCTAGAGTGGCTGATGCTGTTGTAGTTGGCGCGCCAGATCCCACAAAGGGTGATGTTCCACTTTGTTTGTATGTAATGAGACCACCTCAAGATGGTAAGTCTTACTTTTGAATGGAAATCAGTTCTTATTAATATATTTTATTAAAAAATTGTAGTGAATTGACATATCTATTACAGATGAAGAGATAATCGCAGAGAGCACTGTTACTCAGGAACTTATTGCGTTAGTGCGTCACCTCATTGGACCAATCGCTGCATTCAGAAAAGCTGTTGCAGTACCAGCGTTGCCACGAACGAGGTCCGGCAAAGCTTTACGAGGTGCTGTTGCTAAACTGGCACGATCCCAATTAGTGAAATTACCCGCCACAATAGAAGACCCGACAGTGTTCGGTGAAATTAAAACGGCATTACAAAAGTTTGGATACGCCGTTGATGCGCCTGATCCTGAATTTTAGCATTCTTAGGTAGTTAATATTTATTAATAAAAAATACGTTACAATTTAGTACCTACATTACAAAAATCCGACGGCTTAAAAGTGGTCCATACAATCCCATTAAAATAGGTTTGAATTACATCAAAAAAGTTTACATTTATTTCACACTATCCACAAGACTGAATGTTAACAAAACTTCTACACGTTATTAAAAATAATATGATTTTACGTGTACTAATGTTGAGATATATTATTTTGTACGTTTTTGTTAAAGAAATGTTATTTTAATACTGAAAAAAAAACCTCTCTCAGTCACGTTGTACAGACAAGAACTTAGCGATATATGTGTTTTGATGCCTTCATAATAGGAGAGTGCATAAACGCTTAATAAAAAAAAACATATTTTTATTACGTATTTAAATTTAATTTATGTGATTAATTGTAATTTTATAAATATCTAGTAAATATAAACAGCAGCTTTATAAGAAACATTTTTTAAGTAACAAATAAATATTTATTCAGTGAAAGGCATGGGATTTTGTTGCAATAAAAATTGATTAAGCTAGTTTTATTAAAGTATAGATTGAATAAAGGAAATTTGATAGTTTACTACGAGTAATATTGGGTGGATAGCTCGTCCGAATTAAAACATTATTTTAATAAATACGAATAATGAAATACCATTCAAACTACATTAATTTACTGGATGCTGTATTGATAAGTAGCAATTAACGTAACATAAAAAATATATATAATAAAATAACGCTTATTTTGTCTTTTATTTTACCGGTCTATTTTCGAAAAATATTATAATAAGCATAAATCACACTTTTATGCTTATTATAATATTGCTTAAATTAATTATGAAAAGCAAATATTTTATGCTCGTTGTCACGTGACCACAAACAGCGTGTGACACATATTTTTTTTATTTTTTTAACACAATAAAAAATATAACTAGAACTTAGAGAACTCAACCTTATGCATACATAGAACGATATTCGTTTCATAGCGTCATGACGTCATGGCGACGCCATGACAGAAGTGGCGATTTCGCGGGAAATATTGAAATAAAATTTATTTATAATTTTTAACTTGTTATATGAATTATACTTTTTTAGACATATTTCATGTATATCTATAAAATAAAAATATAAAAAAGTTATCTACATCCCTTATTGCAAAAGTAGTATATCTACCGTTTCCCAGACAGGGCGCACTAACCACTGCACTATCGAGCTCCTTGGTTATTCCTCCATTACTTTTATAAGACAAAAAATAATTTTAAACTCAACTCCCAGGTATCAGACTGGACATGAACTAGACACCTTTCGCTAAGCACAAGAGTGCTCTGACATGCCATACCCAAACCAGAACCCCAGGGCTTACTGACTCCAGAATTTTTAACAAATAATTTGGCCAATATATCCCGCCTAATACCTACCACCTCGCATGGCTAGGGTCCCCTGAAAAGTCTCTAGATACGCCCACTGAACTGCTCTTCCCACTAAACAACGCTACGTTCTAAATCACAGAACACAGAAAGACGTTAGAATGGCCTTGTGGGCGTGGCAGTGTAGTCACGATCCTGAACAAATGTACAGGATCGTGACTTCACCATGCGATCGCGATGTTTAGTCATTCACGAACGCACGCGCTGTAAGTACTGTGAAACACGTTACTTAAAAGTGTTAAAAATGCAGTTATTAATTGCAAAACAAGAAGCCCATCCTCAAGTAGGTCCAAAAGAAGGATTTCTTTCCATTAGTAAGTAGAACACTTCTCAAATTTAGTATTTTTAATTGAAATTCGTAAAATGTTATCAAAAGTGTGAATCACAAAAAAGTTTTCTTAGAAAATATACATTGCTGGGGTAGTACGCATATTTATTACATCGCGTCGACTAAGCACGCAATGTAAAGAACTATGAGAAATAACCGTTTTAAATAGTATCACAATAGATTACGGTAGATCGCTAGTGAAGTGCCTGGAAACATTTAATCAATTCTTGGCGTCCTAGTAAAAACTAAATAAAAGTAAGGACGATAAAAATAGTGGTAATGAAAGATATATTTAATTAGAGATTAACAATAGCAATAAATAAAATATAACCCTATTTTTGACTACCATAGTAACTTCGTTTGGTGTGCGTTTGTATATTAATTTAATAATGAGTGAGGTACAGCGAAAGAATCTGTTATTATATATTCTTAAAATTGTAACAGAAAATTAGTTTATTTTTATATTGAACCATTAACAACAATACTTTTTAAATCATCGGAATCCGTTCGGGGTAAATTCCAATTGCGTTTATTCTACTAATTCTATTTTTTTATTTTGTATACATTTATTTACATTAGGTATATTGTTTGTCAATATTACTAGTTTCATTTAAAATATTGCCGATCTTATCTGTTTACTTGAAATTGAGTAACGTAACAAAAAATTACCTACTATTATTATTTATGTATATAAATAATAATAATAACATACTTATATGTACCGATTTCATGTTAGTTCATTATTATGAAATGATTTAAATATTTCTTAATGAATCAAACAACTAATTAACAATTAATATCTAAAGAAAAAAGATAATGTCACATTTAATCAATACAAGTCAATGTATATCCAAAATATTATAAAGAAATCATTACTCCAGTATCTTTTCGATTAATTTTCTTGTTGTTTTTCAATATCGATAGTAAATAACTTTATGTCAATCACTAGTGTAATATGTCAAATTAAAATGGCTTTTACACGTTTATTACGCACTTTAGATGTCTGTTGTGGTCGAGCGTGATTGGTTATAGTTATATTGGAGCGTTCTGATCGGCGTTTTTAAAATGCAAGTGTGTGCATAGTCTTTAGTATAATTGGTGTAATATTTCGTCTGATGTATGGCGGACGAAAAGTGGGAAAAGACTCGGTTTTAAAATAATATGGCGCTGGCACATGATGAATAATCGTTTGTGCGTAGACTGAACGTATGATAAAAATTATAAAGGCTCATTTTTTCTTAACTAATGAATAATATTGTATAACGCCTAAGGTGTCCATCTCAGTCAGACTGCGATGGCGCGCTATGATGCCTGATGAATCACTCAAAGTAAAAACATTAAAATTTAGAGGATCTAACAAGATATGTTATAGAAATGTTTTCGTTTGCTAGTAAGCGAATGCAAAATGCATTAAAATATAGATATGATTAGGTGTTTTACTACCTGACTTCCGCATCGGGTGTTGGATGAATGAGGTATTATACCCTTAGTACTTCAACATATAGAAATATGAAGTTTTCGAAAGCTCTTGCACATTTTTGTTTATAACGAATCAAATTTGCAATACACTGAATAGCTGGGCTACTATAATAATTCCTAAATTTAAAGATTATCGTAACTATATTAAAACCATAAACTTAAAAGTCTTTATTTATCTTTTATAGATTATTTCTCTATTTAACAAGAAAAAAGAAGCTACTGCGCTACTTTATCAAGTATATGTCCCAGCCAAGTGGTAAAATCAGCCGACTAATTGGGCGGCTGTCCTTTAATGAAATGGCACCATTCAATTAACGGGCTGGCTTTCAAAAAACGTAGCGTTTCGTAAGCGTAAGGTGTGCCGTACTTGGTAATACTCTGTTTACGGAAGAAATAGAAGAAAGTCCAGACATAAAAACAAGCCAAGTGCGAGTGGGACTCGCGCACGAATTATTCTGCACAGAAAACGAGTAAAAAATCTATTTTTTTTTGCTTTCGACCCTCCTGAAATATTTATTTTATTCTGTTTTTTAGTATTTGTTGTTATAGCGGCAACTGATGTACATCATCTGTAAAAATATCAACTGTCTAACTATCACGGTTCACGAGATACAGCCAGGTGACAGCAAAAAAAATGTCATTTTTGTATGGGAGCACCTTTAAATATTTATTTTATTCTGGTTTTCAGTATTTAGTATTTCCTCACTAACTACTTCACTCGAGTTATACTTGAGTTTTCGAGTTACTTGAGTAAAAAAATTGCAAACGTGCTACTCAAGTGCGATTTTTCTTACTAATTATAAACAAATACCTATATAAATACAGATTAAAAGAGTTTTTAAATTTTATTTATTTAAGTGATCGAGAATATAACGAAAATAAGCGGTATAGATAAATAAGTTAGACTAGCGAAGTGACATCTAGTGGCAAGAGAATCCACTCGATGTATCGTGTTACGTGATGACTCGAGTAAATACAGGACATGAGTCATCACTAGGCTGAGCCAGGGATGGGCAAATGGAAAAAAAATATTGATATATCGAATCGATATTTTTCAAATGTATCGATAGGTTTTATCAAAAATATACCGGATGCATTTAAAATGACTCTCCAAATTTTTTGTAGGCATTAGATATGGTTAATAGATCACATATATGAAAAAAAACAGTATGTAAAAGTTACAAAATGAAATGTAAACTTGTTGTAATTACTAGATAATTATAACATTCGCATTGTCACTTTAGTTATGAATGAAACAAGCAGGTGTAGCAAGGGCGCGGGCGCAGGGGATGTATGCGCATGCGCCGATGACGATGTCTGTTAGGTTTTTGATTTGTCGGCAACATCAGTCGCCCGCGCACAACCCCTTTGAACGCACGCTTTTCCGTCTTTCTTCCGTGTTGCGCGCCGCCCGCTGCAGCCCCACACTTCGCGCGTCGTAATGTATTTCAATCGCGAATATTATGAAATGGTGCGGTGTTACATACATGGTGATCGATGGATTGGACGCGGAGGCCTCATCGTGTGGCCTGCGCGATCGCCGGACCTAACACCGTGTGACTTATTTGTGGGGCGAAATTAAAAACGTGTGTATGTTGAGGAAGCACAAAGCCTCGAGGACTTAAAAGTGCAAATCAGAGTGGCATTTAACCAAGTACAAATGACACTGTAGTGCTCGCAAAATTAAAAGACAATGTGCAGAAAAGGTGCAAGACTCTGTTTGGAGAGGAACGGTATGCACTTTGGACAATTATTAAAGTATACGTAGGTAAATAGTTAAAGTAGGTAATGCAAGCAACGCAATGCAAGCATACTTGTATTACTATCAGTGAATTGCGGGAAGGGAGGGAGGGGTAAGTGTAACCTAGCGCGTAAAGCGCACGTACTGGGCAGCGAGAGCGTCCACAAATGTAGGTTTTTTGAAAATAACTTGGTGACGATATAACTCAACATTTTTGTTCTAAACGACATAAAAAGAAAAAAACCGTATTTCATTATTTGTCGTAAAGATTAACATACTCAAATTTGGAGAGTGGTTTTAAATGCTTCCTATATAGATATACAATTAAAACCACTCTCCAAATTTGAGTATGTTAATCTTTACGACAAATAATGAAATACGTGTTTTTTCTTTTTATGTCGTTTAGAACAAAAATGTTGAGTTATATCGTCACCAAGTTATTTTCAAAAAACCTACATTTGTGGACGCTCTCGCTGCCCAGTACATGCGCTTTACGCGCTACGTTACACTTACCCCTCCCTCCCTTGCCGCAATTCATTGATAGTAATAATAGCAGCTACCTAAAATGTTTTCATTTTGTCATGCTTGGGGAAATGATAAATAAAGTTGAAACCTCTTCATACTTTTACGGGCTTAGGACCGTCAAATTGCATAAATCCTATAAGATACCTACTATTACAATAGCTATACTGCTTTAAATTTATAAAGTAAGTAGGTAAGTAAATATCGAGTTACCTAAAATTCTGTTTAGTTAAACCAATTCAAAGTAGGTACTTAACTCGCTATTCTTTTGCAATCAGGCGTATTTAAAAAATCATCAACGTTATGTACATAATCAACTAATCAATTTACCTACCTACTTTAACTATTTACCTACGTATACTTTAATAATTATTCAAAGTACATACCGTTCCTCTTCAAACAGAGTCTTGCACCTTTTCTGCACATTGTCTTTTAATTTTGCGAGCACTACCGTGTCATTTTTCACTTGGTAAAATGCCGCTCTGATTTGCACTTTTAAGTCCTCGAGGCTTTGTGCTTCCTCAACATACACACGTCTTTTAATTTCGCCCCACAAATAAAAGTCACACTGTGGTAGGTCCGGCGATCGCGCAGGCCCCACGATGGGGCCTCCGCGTCACGTTGATCACCATGTATGTAACACTGCACCATTTCATAATATTCGCGATTGGAATACATTACGACGCGCGAAATGTGGCGCTGCGACGGGCGGTGCGCAACACGGAAGCAAAGGCGGAAGCGCACGCGTTCAAAGGGGTTGTGCGCGGGCGACTGACTGATGTGCGCCGACAAAATAAAAAACCGAGCAGACATTGTTGTTGGCGCATGCGCGTACATCCCCTGCGCCCGCGCCCTTGCTCCCCTGCTGCCTTGTTTTATTCATTACTAATGTGACAATGCGAATGTTATAATTATCTTGTAATTGCAACAAGTTTACATTTCATTTTGAAAATTTTACATACCATTTTTTTTTCATATATATGATCTATTAACGATACCTAATGCCTACAAAAAATTTGGAGAGTCATTTTAAATTTGATATATGAATATTTTCTGCGTATTAAGCGATTATCTATGAAAATTGACAAAATATTCAAAATTTTAGAGCAAATAAACACCTGGCTGTTTTCTTATTTAAAATAGGTACGTAAAGAACATCATCAACAATCCAAGAAACAACATCATCAACACAACAAAAATTACATTATTCAAGCAAATCAGTATTTTTCTGATATTAACATCAGGAGCACTCTCAGTGATACTAACCAAACCAACAAGGAGTGTCATTGACATAAAGAAACAAAAAAGACAAGCAAGTCATAGACTGTAATTTCTAAACTCATACAGCCTACTGCCTACCTACTCTTTTTAAATTTAAGAAAAACATGATGCGACGTATGAGCAGACAGCAGAACTTTAAAAAATATATCAATTATGATACGAATTTGATATCTAAAAATAAATATCGAAAGCCGATATTTTTCAGAAAAAAATCGATAGTATGTATATCGATAGTTTTTGCCCAATCCTAGGCTGAGCTATGTTTTCTTTTGACAGAGACATATTAGTATTGTAATTTTATTGATAGAAGAAATAAACGTAATTTAAAATAATCATTTTGTTTTATGTTGTATTCATTTAAATATTTAACATTTTTATATATTAAATTAAAACTAGCATCATATTGTACAAATGTGGTGAACAGTGAATTACTGAAAATAATTCGATAAACTTGTCAAGTTAATAGGCAAAGTCAGCAACTGAAGGTACAAATTATTACATTTTTTAAATTTAAACATTGATAATGTATCTTTATTTTAAAAAAGATTTTTTTATTGATGATTGTACATTTAGACCGACAAAATATTGTTTGTTTTGAGTCATTGTTTTCAAATATTTATGCCTATTACAATACTGTTTCTAACATGTTTGAAAAGGCAGATAAGATAGTTATCTAATATCTTTTTATAATTTTCCATGATAAGGATTTGTTTCTATCATAGACTTCGATAAAATGTGCTACTAGTGAGATGTTTACAATAAATTCATTTGATTAGTCACCAAAACCAGGAAAATCCGATTTGATCAATGTTTTGGTTGTTTAAAAATAGTTTTCATCAAATAAATATTTTGTGATTGCATTCGTTAGGTATGATATTCGTGGCAATCCTTCATGTTATTTGTTGAAAATTTGATATTATTTTTACACCTGTGTAGGTCATGTGTTAGGTTAGAAATTTAAGATGTCTATCTGCTGTACTAGTTTTAAAATGATGTAACATAGCTATTATAGTAATAAAGCTAGCTTTGCATTGTCACCTGAAGGAAATCTGCAGAATTTCAGCTTAATTGGCTGAGGATAACTGCCTTTAATTTTTATCACAAGATTTTATAAACGCAAGTTAAATGATGTCTACTAAAACCTTGTAAAAAGGAAATCAAGCATTCATTGTTTTTTCATATAAATTAATCCCATCAGATGTGGAAGGCATCAACAGATGTTGTGGCTCCTGCATTAGCAGAGGCTGATGACTGGGAGACAGACCCTGACTTCATCAATGATGTCACTGAGCATGAGCAGCGCTGGGGACCTGGCGGACGAAATGTAGAGGCTATTGAGTAAGTAAATATGAAATACTTTTTAGATCTTTATTCAAATCATAGAAAATCAGTCAATTTACATAGCCAATAACTTAAGACTGGGTATATAGATAAAACACTGTTTATATCTCATTGTCCCTGGCAAATTTTAATAAACATTTTATAAATTAATTCTTGTAATAAATGAAAGTTGTACACACCCTCTTAATGAAACATACTAAATTGTCATCCATACTAAAAGCCGGATGATCAGTCACAAGCAGACATTAAAAATTTGTAATATAATATGTACAGTCAACAGCACATCAGGCTATACAAACCTGTCAATTTTTCGACTTGATTTGATATATTGTGTTAGTCTGATGTGCAATTGTGTATAGTAAGAAATGCAATTGCTCGATGATCAATTAAACTTAGCAAAAAGTTTGGAGTCATTGTATAACTCATTAATAGTTTTGATAGAGCATAAAATCATATAAACTACCATGATTGTTGCTAACTAATCAGACTGTTTGATTTATTTATAGTTGATTATAAAGGAAATGTGTGGGATTGGAAAATTATTCACCTCTCACTTTCCTGTCAGTTTAAATGGGTCGAAAACACTCAAATGGGTCATTTACTGAGTAGTTTATAAGTTTACTTGAATACAAAAATTATTTAATTCTCTTTCAGTATGGCAAAGTTGAGAGAAGAGGTACTAGAAGCTGACAAGGAGGAAAAACAAAAGCAATATGAGAAAGGTCCAAAGCCTTCATATGGGTGAGTAATTAATTTAATTATGATTTTAAGCCATATATAGCATACAGATGGAACCATACTTGCAAGAGAATGCTATGTCCAACTATTAATTTTTATTTTGTGGAACCCCTTATCAAATTGTCTTACATCACAGACTCTCTAATTTATACAAGAAAAAATAATAATATCAGGAATATATTAAAAGTTGAAAATATTATTTTTAAATTTAATGGGGAGAAATGGTATTTAAATCAATAATTGTTTAGAAATATGCCTAACCACCTCTGAGTAACAGAAGGCATAGTTACTGCAGAATCCACTCTAGGGGCCATAAATAAATTATGTTCTTCTGATTTAATGTTTGATTTTAATGGTATCCAGAATGGCATATGGGGAGTCATCTCTAGATTAACCAATTAACATGTGTCACTCGCACCATACTCTTTAAAATAGATTTTATGAGATGCAACATAAGACCCATTATCCTTAAACGATTTTCGACAACCTTCCATATTTTCCATATTACCAGTTTCCATATTATCAAAAATGAATGGAATCATGAAAAAAGTATTTTCCTACAAAAAATTACCACAGCTAAGTATTAAACTATACTTGTCAGTATAATGTATTGTTGTCATTGTTTTAGTTATGGAGGTAAATTCGGCGTCCAAGCGGACCGCATGGATAAATCCGCAGTTGGACATGATTATGTGGGTAAAACTGAGAAGCATGTCTCTCAAAAGGATTATGCGCAAGGTAATGCCGATATTGTTTCTACTTTGACATGTAGTAAAATGAAACAATGTTAATAAAAGTAAGGCGGTTGCACCACTGCAAGGTTATTGTTGTTTTACAAATTATCTCTGAATAATATAAAATCTGTCTACAAAGTCAAAATAATCTTTATTCAAATAGACTTCTTAAAAGTACTTTTGAATCTCAAAACCAATGTTACTACGTTTCCAAGAAAAAGAAACGGTCTGACATAGCAACTTACAAATAATTTATGTAAAGAAAAAAGCTTATGACCAGTTTAAGGTGCGTCGGAAATCCTGTAATTATTATTTTGTGTTCAGGTTTCGGCGGCAAGTTCGGTGTACAAACGGACAGAATGGACGCGAGCGCCGTCGGGCACGACTACGTCGGCAAAGTCGACAAACACGTCTCACAGACTGACTACGCGCAGGGCTTCGGCGGCAAGTATGGCGTGCAGACCGACAGGGTCGATAAGGTAACCAGAGAACGTATTTATTTTATGGGTTTGTTACAGCTAAAGACAAGTCGAGATAAACTTCAATGTGCCACGTTAAGATTAAAGGACAATTTTTATTTTTTTTTCGTTATACAGAATTTTGACAATGGCACTGATAGCTGAGATGTAATATGGCGACATACATGTTTTTTTTTTCTGAAGTCACACAGCTTAAAAAAATATATTTACAAAAATGTACATAATCTGAACAAAATTATTATAATTAACTCATTGATAATTAATAATAATCTAAATAAATATAATAATCAATGAGTGTCTTTTAATTTAATATAAGTTTAATATTTCATATTGAGAACTTTATAGAAAAATCTATAACGGCTGAATAGATATAATATATAATATTTAGTTTGTGTGTTATGGTACGGTGTCGTATGGGTCTGGTCGTGAATTCTCTGACATGAAGCGGACCCATGCGTCATACTCGGGCTGCTAGTGGAGATAAGTCTACTCAAGACTACCTATACTTGTCTATTTAATTGTGTTTATGTAGGATTATCTGCTTTACCTGTGGACTTTTTTTTACTATTTTCCCTAAGAACCTTTATTTTAAGTGCATATTATTATATTGTTCATCTTAATTAGAAATTAACTCTTTGTAAAAAATATATTAGTTTTTGAGATAAAATAAAATATTAAAAAAATATATCTTTTTGTCCACTGGTACAAAACATTGACCAAGACCAAATGTATTATTAGACAGTATGCACAGACTATTTAAGTATATAATTTTAATATAAAGCAAACATTAAGATACATAAAACTTTGAAACATTAAGTTTTTTAACATTATAAATACTCGGCAAATAAATTCTTAGTAAAATCAAATAAACTTCAATTTTATACACTAGTCATGAGCCATTAAAATTAGCAATGAAATCTAAGCCCATATGCATAGGTGGAGCTTCTAAGCATTCATACAATTGAATCTTTTTAATCTCATCAAATACCATCTTCACATCCTTCCTGAAAGCTTTAAGGTCTGTGTTACTAATGTCATTGTTATTGTTTATTTAATAATATTTGAAAATAGTAGAGTTTGTTCGGTATTTTGTATTTCTCAACAATTTTATGAACCGAAACTCTACTTTTGACTTCTCTGACTGCTACTATAAGAGCCTCTTAATATATTTTATTGCGATTCAACCCAGCTTTACTATGAAGCACCTGAAACAAAATAAATAAATTATTAATGTATAGTGTACAATTTAGAGTATGTAACTATGGACAGTCCACAGGTACAATATTATTGTGTCCATAGATACAAATAAGCTGTTATATCCTCTAAATTGCGTCTGCCTAGAAAAATATCACGCATATCTTTGAAATTTAAATACCATACCAAAAACAATATAACACATTATATACATAATTCATAAAGGGATATTTTGTATAAAGTTCTAAATTCAAAAAATACTGGCCAGTTTTAAAATCTTTTGATGAAAACTTATTTTGTACGCCTTCCAAATTTGAATTAAAAAAAAATATTTCAAACAAACGATTTGCCCGGCATAATTCAAGCGAAGTTCGAAATTTTCAATTTACCTACCATAGTTTTTGAGGATTTTTTGTGTTAATCGAAAGTTTTAAAACAAGTTAGCTGTTTAATTTGAATTTGTGCTACTCTATGCATTATGCAGCGACACCATTTAACAAGAGAGAAAATGTTAAGGGCAGTAGGCATGCTCCAAGCTGGGACTACTCAACGGAGTATTGCCGAGGACATCGGAATAAAACAAAACGTGATATCACGGTTATGGTCACGTTATCGTGCTACTGGTGAAAGAAGACTTCATATTCTGATGAAGTCATTATTTAATCTTGATATTTGCCGAGTTTCTTGTAGGTTATCGGTATAGGGTCTCCTGCCGTAGATTTACGAATAGATGGCATAGTTTCGTCTTTCACGAGTGCTTGTTACATCCTATACTGAATAAAGGATTTTGTTAGAGCGCGGCGGGTTGGGAGCACCGCTCGCAAGTGGAGAAGCACTCGTCGCAGCGGGACTACGCAGTGGGCTTCGGCGGCAAGTACGGCGTGCAGACAGACAGACAGGACACGTGCGCGCTCGGCTGGGACCACAGGGAGGACCACCACAAGCACGACTCACAGAAAGGTCAGATAGTTACCGCTGGGACCGAATTGGGCAATTGTTTATCATATTATTCGGTTACAGTTTGAATGATTTCAAATGGAAATTTCCTTAAGCATTGACCACTCTATTGTTTTTTTATTTTATTTATTTAGTCATTCTTATAGACTTTTTAATCTGAATTACGATATTTTATGTACTTTCAATATATGTTTTATAATTAATTCATTTCTATTGTATCAATTCAGTTATTTTTAAATTGTCCGACTGTGACGGGTGTAGACAGTAAACGAAAATAAATTCATATATTTTTTTCTGGTAGTGTTTAATATGCTATTATCGATAAATAATACTTTAATGTTTATTATATTTATGATACCTATTGCTTAAACTTATTGTGAAGAAACAAATATTTTATGCTCGTCGTTACGTGACCGCAAACAGCGTGTGACGTCACGCCCCTCTACTCATATCACACATCCTAGACATTTAAACTTTATGCATTCATAGAATGGTATTAGTTTAAGAGAGCGTGACGTCATAGTGACGCCATGACAGAAGTGGTGTTTTCAAGGGAAAGTTTGAAAATTAAACTTATTTTTCGATTTGAACTTATTATATGAAAGAAGTTTTTTAAAAATATTTTTAAAATGTATATTTTTTTACAATTAGAGTTCAAACATTAAACTGACACTATATAAAATAAAAAAAATCTTGGTGTAAATATTTTAATTTTAATGAGCGCGCCAAGAATTCCATAGTTTAGAGTAAATCATCTTTGACAGACAAAACCCACAGATTCAACGGATAACCGAGTGATTGCGTTTTTATCATGAAAATATGGAACCCTATAAAACGAAAACCTGAACAGTCTTTTAGACAGATGAATCAGATCTATGAACGGACAAATATTAATGTCTGTCGAATGTTAGATTATGCGGTGGGTTTCGGCGGCAAGTATGGCGTGCAGACAGACAGACAGGACGCTTCTGCCGTGGGATGGGATCATCAGGTGAGAGCACCGAAGCACGCCAGCCAAGTAGACCATAAGAAGGTTAATATAGACAATATGCACATATCACATATACATGTATTAAAGTAAGCGCTCCCTTGCGCTTGATGTCGTACATGATATTATGATATCATGCGCGTTAGAAGGTTCTAGAACATAAGTCATTGCATTCCTTGTTTAAAAAATTTTCTTCTATCCATTCATCTAAAAGGGGCGTCCATTAATCACGTGAGGCTCGAAAGGGGAGGGGGGGGAGGGATTTGTCAAAAATCACGAAATATCACAAAGGGGGTGAGGGGGTGTAGTAATATATCCCATGTATTTATTTTTCCTCGACGCGTGATTATTAAACCGAAAAGCGACCTCAAAATTTAAGATGTTTTGTTTTTTTTTTTAAATACACGTGATTTGGTTGAATGGAGGGGGTAGTCTTAAACCTCACTATGTATCACCAAGGGGGGGGGTTTAAAAAATGTTTCAAAAACAACACGTGATTAATTTACGGCCCCCAAAGCTGTGACAATTTTATAGAAAATTCTTCTTTTTTGCTTCCCTATCGCATCCGAAATTCCGATAATGGATAGTGTGACTTGAGTATTTTGTTTGAATCTTTGATTTTAATCACAAATCACAAATATCAATTAATTGTTAACGTAATCGACCAATATATTGAATGAAAAAAACTAATCTGACAGGGTTTCGGTGGAAAGTTCGGCGTGGAAACGGACAGAGTCGACAAGTCCGCGCACCGATTCGATGAAGTCGACAAAGTCGGCACCAATTACACTAAGCAGAAACCGGATATAGGCGGCGCTAAACCGTCCTCTATAAGGGCTAAGTTCGAGAACATGGCGAAAGAGAAGGAACAGGTATTATATACTTAATGGGGTATTATTACTATGACTAATAAAAACCTGTAGGCCTTCTCTGTTACTCCGAAAACGAAGTTTCGTTTATTTTCGAAATGCTAACATGACTCAAAAGAAACACATTTTTCGATAATTTATTATGAATCAAAATTTCCGAATTTTTGTTCAATGAGGAAGTATTAAAAAAAAGAAAGCACTAAAAAAGCACCTCACTAGATGGCGACTCTACTAATTTGATTTTTGCAGGAATCAAATGGATCAAAGATAGTCATTTCCGTTCCATTTAACTTAGATATTAAAAACACTGAAATTTACAGAGTTCGAAACTTAGATATCAATATAAATACGAAAAATTACAAATAGAATATGACTTGTTTATTGAGTTTTGACAATTAATTTACTTGCATACATGAAAGAAAACCGGAAGGGTTGTCATTGAGAAATCACGAAAGTACCGTAGCGACATCTATTTTGATTTAGGGTTCTATTTTTTAAAATATTTCCTCATTACAATTAGACTTAGCCTCACGTGTTATACAACCATTTTTGAAGTCTAAATTCAATATCTTATTAAAGAAAAAAATATTATCCAAACGATAAGTGCTATAAAAATTCATTTAAATTTAACAATTTCATCATACATATTCAATGAAAATTCTGGATGTCATGTTCCTCTATAGTTATGAAGTCAATTCGTTATGGCAAAATGCGCCGGTATCGGACTCTACTACAGATAATTAAAAATTTGGAAACTTTAGTTATGATTTCCTTTTATGTACTTAAATTTTCCAGCGTATGCTTATCGCGGAATATTCAATAGACTTCTTTTAGTTATACTAGTTGCCATGAGTATTCAAATGGAATAACCTTTTTATTATTTATATATTAAATATTACCAATGTTTATAAAAAATAAAATAAAATCACAACATATTAATTTACGTGGAAAATTACTTATCTATATGAATAATAATTGTAGCAATTTACATTTTAGGAAGCGCTTCAATCTGTCCAGAAGATAAGACAACAAAGGGAACAATTAGACAAAGACTTAAAGCAGAAGGTAAGGTGTTGGTTTATACATATTACTTGTGTTTTTGTATAATATATCTATTCACATTCGAATGCGAATTTATATCAAACAAAACAAATTAAATATTTAACACATAGTATCACTTAGAGTATTTTTTTTTATTAATATTAGTAATTTTTAGACCTTTTTTTGCGTGATGATAAATATATAATTCCTAAAAATTCCTCAGGAAACCGATCGTCTAGCAAAAGAGCCGCCAGAGCCGATAGAGCCAGTGACACAGAAACACGTAGAGCCAGTCAAACAGAAAGAGCCGGAGCCGGTGAATCAGAAAGTGCCAGAGCCTCTGAATCAGAAAGAGATGGAGCCAGCGCGACAGGCAGAGACGGAAGCAGAGGGTTTGGTGAGATCGGCGCCCGCTAAAGTGGAACCGGAAGTGAAACAACCGGAGGAAGTGAAACAGCCTAATTTACCCGACGTCACCTTAGTGGGAGAGGCTAAAGAAGAAAAGGAGGAGGTTAGCGATTTTTTATGATTTTATAGGCCCTAATCATCCATCAAAAACATCAGTTTATCTGTTGAGTCTCAAGCGTTCCAAAGGGATGGAAAGAGAAAAGGATCTTATTTTGTATATAGTGTGGAAAATGAGAATTAAGGGCTTTATTTTTACAGGGGAATGTTCATTTAAATTTCTTTAATTTTTTTCAATAAAAATATTAATATTCTCCATCTGTCAGAAATTGCTGCCCTAGCAATAAGGTCGCCTTGTGTCTATGTTACTTGTAATATGTGTTTTTATGTCAATGTTTGGTATATGAGATAAAGTATAACATTCATTGAAACATGATCCAGTCCAATATTAATAGATAGATTCGACGCTGAAAAATAGAGAGAGAGAAAAACAAACATACTAAAGTGTCACAATCGCGGGTCTTATCACTACATATTGATCTCTTTCAGAGGATCTACGGATGGAGAGATTAATTTATCGTTAATATATATTTAACTTAACATTTACGACATGTTTAGGGTATGTTCCGATATACACTGCGACCACTGAACAGTATGACGTCAATTTAGTATACTGGAAGCCCGTTCCTTTATAGCTAGTTATACTGGTGACTTTTTAAAACGGAACGCAGTCCAGTATACTGTTAATCCTTTTTTTGGCGCCATTTTCAAATTTGTTAATGCAAGGTGAATATAAATATAAAGATTCCCTCTTTTCAAAAGAAAATATTATAAAATTGAAAATTGTATAAAAAAATTATTTATCAATCAAATCCATCTAATAATAAACGTAAGTATTTTATTTTATCTGTTTCGACTGATCACGTGGTTAAAAGCACTGCGAGCACTGTTCCTCGAAATCTCCAGTGCTCACAGTACAAATATGGCGGCAATTCATGACGTCATAAATTTCCCTACGGTACTGTAGCAGTGTACTGGCAGTCCATAACGGCATTTTCAGCAGTAAGACCACTGTGCAGTGCTCGCAGTGTAAATCGGAACATACCCTTAATAATTAATCGTGATCATAATTGTCAAGTAGTCGATTAATAAGTTTTGATACTGACCGAAGTTATTTGGTGATGAAATGTATCGATTGTTATAATCGTTATACAGATGAGCAGACAGCCGACTATAGTGGTGTCCCCGGTGGGGTGGGAGGCGGAGCTGAGCGCGGAGCCGGACCCAGACGAGGACGGGTACACCGCGCGCGCGCTGTACGACTACCAGGCCGCCGCGCCCGACGAGATCAGCTTCGACCCCGACGACCTCATCACCGATATAGTCATGGTCAGTCAGTCAGTCAGTCAGTCATCACCCGCTGCACGACTACCAGGCCGCCGCGCCCGACGAGATCAGCTTCGACCCCGACGACCTCATCACCGATATAGTCATGGTCAGTCAGTCAGTCAGTCAGTCATCACCCGCTGCACGACTACCAGGCCGCCGCGCCCGACGAGATCAGCTTCGACCCCGACGACCTCATCACCGATATAGTCATGGTCAGTCAGTCAGTCAGTCAGTCATCACCCGCTGCACGACTACCAGGCCGCCGCGCCCGACGAGATCAGCTTCGACCCCGACGACCTCATCACCGATATAGTCATGGTCAGTCAGTCAGTCAGTCAGTCATCACCCGCTGCACGACTACCAGGCCGCCGCGCCCGACGAGATCAGCTTCGACCCCGACGACCTCATCACCGATATAGTCATGGTCAGTCAGTCAGTCAGTCATCACCCGCTGCACGACTACCAGGCCGCCGCGCCCGACGAGATCAGCTTCGACCCCGACGACCTCATCACCGATATAGTCATGGTCAGTCAGTCAGTCAGTCAGTCATCACCCGCTGCACGACTACCAGGCCGCCGCGCCCGACGAGATCAGCTTCGACCCCGACGACCTCATCACCGATATCGTCATGGTCAGTCAGTCAGTCAGTCAGTCATCACCCGCTGCACGACTACCAGGCCGCCGCGCCCGACGAGATCAGCTTCGACCCCGACGACCTCATCACCGATATAGTCATGGTCAGTCAGTCAGTCAGTCAGTCATCACCCGCTGCACGACTACCAGGCCGCCGCGCCCGACGAGATCAGCTTCGACCCCGACGACCTCATCACCGATATAGTCATGGTCAGTCAGTCAGTCAGTCAGTCATCACCCGCTGCACGACTACCAGGCCGCCGCGCCCGACGAGATCAGCTTCGACCCCGACGACCTCATCACCGATATAGTCATGGTCAGTCAGTCAGTCAGTCAGTCATCACCCGCTGCACGACTACCAGGCCGCCGCGCCCGACGAGATCAGCTTCGACCCCGACGACCTCATCACCGATATAGTCATGGTCAGTCAGTCAGTCAGTCAGTCATCACCCGCTGCACGACTACCAGGCCGCCGCGCCCGACGAGATCAGCTTCGACCCCGACGACCTCATCACCGATATAGTCATGGTCAGTCAGTCAGTCAGTCAGTCATCACCCGCTGCACGACTACCAGGCCGCCGCGCCCGACGAGATCAGCTTCGACCCCGACGACCTCATCACCGATATAGTCATGGTCAGTCAGTCAGTCAGTCAGTCATCACCCGCTGCACGACTACCAGGCCGCCGCGCCCGACGAGATCAGCTTCGACCCCGACGACCTCATCACCGATATAGTCATGGTCAGTCAGTCAGTCAGTCAGTCATCACCCGCTGCACGACTACCAGGCCGCCGCGCCCGACGAGATCAGCTTCGACCCCGACGACCTCATCACCGATATAGTCATGGTCAGTCAGTCAGTCAGTCAGTCATCGCCCGCTGCACGACTACCAGGCCGCCGCGCCCGACGAGATCAGCTTCGACCCCGACGACCTCATCACCGATATAGTCATGGTCAGTCAGTCAGTCAGTCATCACCCGCTGCACGACTACCAGGCCGCCGCGCCCGACGAGATCAGCTTCGACCCCGACGACCTCATCACCGATATAGTCATGGTCAGTCAGTCAGTCAGTCATCACCCGCTGCACGACTACCAGGCCGCCGCGCCCGACGAGATCAGCTTCGACCCCGACGACCTCATCACCGATATAGTCATGGTCAGTCAGTCAGTCAGTCAGTCATCACCCGCTGCACGACTACCAGGCCGCCGCGCCCGACGAGATCAGCTTCGACCCCGACGACCTCATCACCGATATAGTCATGGTCAGTCAGTCAGTCAGTCATCACCCGCTGCACGACTACCAGGCCGCCGCGCCCGACGAGATCAGCTTCGACCCCGACGACCTCAACACCGATATAGTCATGGTCAGTCAGTCAGTCAGTCAGTCATCACCCGCTGCACGACTACCAGGCCGCCGCGCCCGACGAGATCAGCTTCGACCCCGACGACCTCATCACCGATATAGTCATGGTCAGTCAGTCAGTCAGTCATCACCCGCTGCACGACTACCAGGCCGCCGCGCCCGACGAGATCAGCTTCGACCCCGACGACCTCATCACCGATATAGTCATGGTCAGTCAGTCAGTCAGTCATCACCCGCTGCACGACTACCAGGCCGCCGCGCCCGACGAGATCAGCTTCGACCCCGACGACCTCATCACCGATATCGTCATGGTCAGTCAGTCAGTCAGTCAGTCATCACCCGCTGCACGACTACCAGGCCGCCGCGCCCGACGAGATCAGCTTCGACCCCGACGACCTCATCACCGATATCGTCATGGTCAGTCAGTCAGTCATCACCCGCTGCACGACTACCAGGCCGCCGCGCCCGACGAGATCAGCTTCGACCCCGACGACCTCATCACCGATATCGTCATGGTCAGTCAGTCAGTCAGTCAGTCATCACCCGCTGCACGACTACCAGGCCGCCGCGCCCGACGAGATCAGCTTCGACCCCGACGACCTCATCACCGATATAGTCATGGTCAGTCAGTCAGTCAGTCAGTCATCACCCGCTGCACGACTACCAGGCCGCCGCGCCCGACGAGATCAGCTTCGACCCCGACGACCTCATCACCGATATAGTCATGGTCAGTCAGTCAGTCAGTCAGTCATCACCCGCTGCACGACTACCAGGCCGCCGCGCCCGACGAGATCAGCTTCGACCCCGACGACCTCATCACCGATATAGTCATGGTCAGTCAGTCAGTCAGTCAGTCATCACCCGCTGCACGACTACCAGGCCGCCGCGCCCGACGAGATCAGCTTCGACCCCGACGACCTCATCACCGATATAGTCATGGTCAGTCAGTCAGTCAGTCATCACCGCTGCACGACTACCAGGCCGCCGCGCCCGACGAGATCAGCTTCGACCCCGACGACCTCATCACCGATATAGTCATGGTCAGTCAGTCAGTCAGTCAGCACCCGCTGCACGACTACCAGGCCGCCGCGCCCGACGAGATCAGCTTCGACCCCGACGACCTCATCACCGATATAGTCATGGTCAGTCAGTCAGTCAGTCAGTCATCACCCGCTGCACGACTACCAGGCCGCCGCGCCCGACGAGATCAGCTTCGACCCCGACGACCTCATCACCGATATCGTCATGGTCAGTCAGTCAGTCAGTCAGTCATCACCCGCTGCACGACTACCAGGCCGCCGCGCCCGACGAGATCAGCTTCGACCCCGACGACCTCATCACCGATATCGTCATGGTCAGTCAGTCAGTCAGTCAGTCATCACCCGCTGCACGACTACCAGGCCGCCGCGCCCGACGAGATCAGCTTCGACCCCGACGACCTCATCACCGATATCGTCATGGTCAGTCAGTCAGTCAGTCAGTCATCACCCGCTGCACGACTACCAGGCCGCCGCGCCCGACGAGATCAGCTTCGACCCCGACGACCTCATCACCGATATCGTCATGGTCAGTCAGTCAGTCAGTCAGTCATCACCCGCTGCACGACTACCAGGCCGCCGCGCCCGACGAGATCAGCTTCGACCCCGACGACCTCATCACCGATATAGTCATGGTCAGTCAGTCAGTCAGTCATCACCCGCTGCACGACTACCAGGCCGCCGCGCCCGACGAGATCAGCTTCGACCCCGATGACCTCATCACCGATATAGTCATGGTCAGTCAGTCAGTCAGTCATCACCCGCTGCACGACTACCAGGCCGCCGCGCCCGACGAGATCAGCTTCGACCCCGACGACCTCATCACCGATATAATCATGGTCAGTCAGTCAGTCAGTCAGTCATCACCCGCTGCACGACTACCAGGCCGCCGCGCCCGACGAGATCAGCTTCGACCCCGACGACCTCATCACCGATATAGTCATGGTCAGTCAGTCAGTCAGTCAGTCAGTCATCACCCGCTGCACGACTACCAGGCCGCCGCGCCCGACGAGATCAGCTTCGACCCCGATGACCTCATCACCGATATAGTCATGGTCAGTCATTCGACATTACGACGACCTTGTAGCCGAGTGGTTTGCTCGCTGGTTTCAAGGTGTCGCCATCTCTGTGGTCCCGGATTTGATTCCGGGTTGGGTTAAACTAGAAAATTTTACTTTTCTTTTTTGTCCCGGGTCTGTGTACCTTCGTTGTCTCTGATATTCCAAAATACGGGAGCCGTAGCTGTTCATCATAAGCCGCGTATCGACTGCGCGCGGCAAACCATGGAACATTGGCTCGCGCGGCGGCCGCGCAATATGGGGACGGCTCCGCCGCGCGCGGCAGCTCGAACATTGGCGCGCTCGAACGTGCCGCGCGGCGAATCAGTTCGTGTCGGTTTTTGGTGGCGCGGCAAAGGAGCGTCAGTGTGTTGTGCGTGCGCAATTGGGACGGACCTTTTACTTAGAGACGCGCGGCAAGATGGATAACAAGAAGTGTCGGTATTTGATTAGATTATATGGCTTAAAACCTTACTTATTTGTTGTCATTCGTGTGAAATTTTTGATTGTTTCGTCGATAGCTTCGTATCTCATGTCTTCCATTAATCGTGAACTACCATGTAGCATTCTATTCATATATATTTTTTTGATCCACCAACGAGGTTCTCGTCTCGAACGCTTATGAATAATATGATATATGATGATAAAAGCCGCAGCTGCACGTCGCTGACGTGATACGTCCATGGTTGCCGCGCACAAAATGAATGTTTGTTCACGGATCGCCTGCCGCGCTATATGAAAATGTGAGCTTTAAATTGGCTCGCGCACCAAAACGCAGGTTTGCCGCGGTCGAACATGGCTCGCGCGGCAGCCGCGCGCAGTCGATACACGGCTTTAGAATCTAGGTGATGTATGTAATGTAATCTTGTATTTATATTTATTTATTATTATCAACCTATTAATGTACACTCAAGGAAAAAAATCTGTTATGTCACTGTTTACTATTATTCTAAAATTTACACATATTAGTCTAAATTTTCGTGCTTTCAATAAGCTTATTTGAATAAATGTTTTTATTTCAATCACAAATAATTTCAACAGATCGACGAAGGGTGGTGGCAGGGTTTATGTAAAGGCGCGTACGGACTGTTTCCTGCCAACTACGTGCAACTACAGGACAAGTAAAACATTCCCATATATAATTTGTATCTTAAAGGTACGTGTCATAGATTTATTTTTTTTTGGTTTTCCGATTTTTATGTATGTTGATTACTTAAATAAAATTTTGAAATCTGTCTAACAAGAAATTTGAGATGCCGCTTAAAGATATATTACGAATGTACTGAATAGTGTAATTTTATATCGTATGTTGTTGTTTTGAAGTTTATTTTGCAATAAAAATTAACTTAGAGTAATTTTTGTATTCTTTTACTATTAATCAGTATTCCAATATATTTCCCAAGTATTTTTTTGAACTGTTCTGGTAACTTTAGAGTTGGTTCCTTTATATATGACACGTACTTATATTGATTATTTTCCAGTAGTGTATTCTATAATTTTATATACATAAAATAACTGATTTATATTTTTAACTATCGACTTTACAGCTCTCAATATAGAGTTCATTTATACCAATATTTTACATTCTTTTGAAGATTGAATGATGATAGTAAGTAGCATCTATGATCGAACTTGGGCATTTTTCATTCTATCTTTTTCTGTTATATTGTAGTGCGATAAGGATACCACAATCCGTCTAGTATTAATCCAGAAGTTTGTGCTTTATTCGTCATTACATTTATTCAGTTATTATGATTAGGCATTTTTATATAATGAACAATGCGTTATTTCGCTCATAGATGTGATTATTACTATACATGTATATTATATTCTGTTATAAAAACAGTATCGGACTCTTTGTCGAACGCACCGCTGTCTCATAGAGATTTAATGAAATAAAACCTACTTCAAAAGGTAAAGGTTCTATTTCATTGAAGCTTTATGACGTAACAGCGCTGCATTCAACGACGTGTTGGAGGTTGGTTTTTGACAGAATAGCATAGCTGATTGCTTTATTACTTAGATGACATTTGTTTTATATTTTGACAACTAAAAATGATGATGTAAATAGATTTTGCAGACTGTAAAAATAATGACAGATTTTTTTATACATTTTGACAGTATGTAATAGTAAAGAAATCGAGCTCTGTCTCGACTAGTCAAATACTTGAATGTTTTATTAGAAAAATTCAAAAAGCTGTTTCCAAAGTTTTCATTCTTGTATAGTTTTCTAAATAGTAAGTCTACAACTGAAAGTATAAAAAAATAAGAAGTAACGAAAGCACTTATGAAATCATACAAACCTCATTGTTATGGAATTAAAGAAAATTTTTATAAGCTAGTGAACAAAAGTTGTTCGTGTTCAGAACAGAAATATTTAGAAAGGTGAATTTCTAAAATCGCATAGAAACTAGTCTTATAGTTCAGTTTAAATCGAGCGCAATAATAAGACATTTTCGAAAATGCACCTTTAATAGTAAACGAGCGATCGACAAGTTCAAAAACAAGTTTTTATCTATGGAAGTATTGTAAGACGAAATCAATCAATATCTGTCAGTAAGCTGTCAGTGTCATTTTGACATTGACGTAAGATGATATTCGCGCCATAATACCGCCGGGTGGTGGATTTTTGTAAAACGGTATTGTATATAAAATAAATCAATTAAACAAGAAGTATAAACTTTTTCTCATACACATGTGGCAATACAGGCCTTCTAATGTTTCTGTGTTCTGTGGAAAAGTAAATATCATTAGTGTTTTATAATTATATAAGGTGTAATATTATTATATGCCAGGACTTTGTGGAGTGAATTAGTTAAGTATATTAAACAACTTTTTATGAGAGTAACACTGAATTCACGCAAAAATAATCAGCTGTTTCATACAAAATTGTAATACCTACAATCGCTGACAGTTGATTATTTTTTCGTGAATTCAGGGTAACTCCCGTATTAAAAGTTGTTCAATATACTTAACTAATCCACTTCACAAAGTCCTGGCATATAATAATATTACACCTTATATTAGTGTCTCGTTAAGACGAGAACAAGTAAGTAATAGTAGGCTCGCAAGGTATTTAAAATTGATAGTTCATTGTATTACGCCAAGGGATATCATGCACTATTCCTATTAGAAGAAACACCTTACGCTTTAGTCTATGAAAGAAAAGTTGATACAATTTAAATTAGTGGATGGAGTTACACAAATCGGTAAAGTATGATAGGTATCTTTCAACTGAAAATTCAAAATATAGCAGTTTTATTGAGCAAATAAAAAATATTTATTTTGATAATTTCTATTGAGTAATAAAATAGTAGTGTTAAGTCATCTTAGTCTTTGAATCATCAGATTGTGGACTTTTTATTTATTCCATTTTATTCATATTACTTTAATTAGACTCTGAGTGAATGTGTAAATTGTCTTTAAGTTGATGTAATTGTTTGACGGCCGTTTTCAATAATTTATTAGTCATTATTATTAGGATTTTAATATGTCTGTTCAAATCATTTCATAAATATATAACGGCGGGTAGTCCGAAGGGGCTATTACGAAGCCCAAATAGATTGTCCATATCGGAGGACTATCTTTAAAATAACACTGCACGCGTGTATACCAACGTGGATTTATTCCATTTTATCACTTTTCGTACGAAAATATAACGAGATGAGCGTGATGTCATCGGATGTCTTCACTCCTCGGCGATTACAAATAGAATGTGTGCCAAAATGGCGGCAACTTGGTTTTTATAAACGAACTGTCAAAGTCAGTGTCACCATTCTAATAAAATTAAAAGTATCGATGATCACGCTCTCTTTACAATCGAGTAATTAAGTAATCGAGTAACTAGCAATTAAAATAAAAGAAACTAAATCAAACGATCTTCGTAATGATGATGATGATGCGACATATATATTTACGACAAAATAGAATACAGTTTATTAGATTTTAGACAATCATTGAATAGCAAAACACTAGTAGTAAACGAATACGGCTGTCGGTCGTGTAAATGAAGACAGACGTTGCGATTGGCTAAAAAGTTTTGCTCCTTTTAAACAAAACTTAAGCGCAGGTACATCGGCGTAACTTAAAAACGCGGTTTTTAACATTTCTTAAATATGTTATACATACATTGTGATATATACCTTATAGATAGTGACTTAAAATAGGTTATTGTAAATGGTCGTCAAATCCCTGTAGTACCCTAGTCTAGTTTTAAGTTTACAGTTTATATTCATACGTAATATGCTCAATTTTATTAAATATTCATTTGTGATTCATGCTTTATCTTACAGATATATTTAATATATTAGTTATTATTCATAATTATTTTGTAACTCTGTTAAACAAAGCAGTTGGTCACAAAATTGAGAACATGTTGATTTAAAAATATACACTGCCAAGGGGTTACGGATTTTTTGGTATGCGCCATTTTTGAATTTTACATGGAAGCGAAATCATATAAAAGAATATATCAGTATTTATTTAAACGAAATCTGGCCTAAGTTTAACCTAGTAAAACGAGCACAATTTAGCCTAGTTTTTATTTTATATTAATGCTATTATACCAGAAATGTCGCTAGATTCAAAATTACTTCAAATAACTTTACATCTTTCGCCTCCTCCATTTCATTACTCTGTATGTATGAAAACTCGTCGGTTTTTATGACTTCTGATATTACCTTCACACAGTACATGATCATATCGATTGTGAATTGTGTCTTGGCCTTCATTTACTTTTGCACCCCCCAATTTCACGCTGTCTATGAGTTATATTATTCTTTTATTCGACACTCTAAATGATACAATCGTGGTTTATATGATGCTTTTATAATTTAGATTGTAGTAAATTATATTTTACTTGAATTTCATACAAGAATATACATAATACTGTGTTGAATAAATATAGTATCATCATTTTAATATATAATAATTATGTGTATTATCGAGTAATATACAGATGTTAAAAACGGAATGGTTATTCTCCGCCATCTTGAAATGCATTAGCATTATTTGATAACGTACTTTATTACCAATAAAATAAATATAGTTTTTGTTAATTTTCATTTGATGTTAACATGGTCTTTATTGCGTCTTCCGTAAGATTACATTCGAGTGGCGCAGTGTTATAAACTAATTAATACTGTTTGTAGTAATTGGTATATATTGAACGGTATTTGATGCCGACTGTGTTTTATATAAGACGATTTAATGTTTATAAAATGAATAAATAATATTTTCTAGCAGGAATAATTTAAAACCACTGCGAAGATTTTGTGAAAATAAACTTTAAGTAATTTAAACAAACACGTATTTTTTATTTTGATATGTTCCAATACTAAAAAATAAAGTTATCGCTTATCAAAGATCGAGATTTTAAAACCTAATTTATGGAAACCGCGCGCCGTGCGTCAGCTGACCGCTCTCGCTCGACGCCGTAGGCATGTACTCGTAGGTATGTACCTATCTACACGGGTCGCTGACCGCTCATGTTGTTAGATTCGAACTAGATTTTATGCCATGATCTGAGGTGATTTCTAAGAGTAATTCCAATTTTCCCGTCATACTTTTATGGTTAAGGCCATCAAAATGCAAAAAAATAAAAGAGAAACAAATTCGTTACCTAGAAAAAAATATTAACGTTATGCCGAAGTTACATAGGTATTTTGCGTTAAGGCGTATTTAAAAAAATTGGAATCAACTACGTATTTACAATAATGTTGAATCAAAACAAATACCTAACTAATTACTTACCATGTATTATTATTATTATTATTATCATGTATTTTAATATTTGTTCAAAATGAACTCCACGTCTGTCCAGACATAAACGTGCACATTTCATTAAATTGTAATTTAATTTATTTAGAACACTAGTGTCACTTTTCACTTCACTAAAAGCGTTATTATTTTTTATTGTTAAGTCTTCTAGACTTTGTGCCTACTCTACATCCCGCCGTTTGACTTCTTCCCATAAGAAACAGTCCCTCACGTGTGAACAATGCCTCATCCGTCCACAAGATGTTGGCATCGCGGTGATGTAGATGCCACTAGCATAAGGCTCGACGTGGTACTGGGTCTAGGTCATGGAACTGCTGAACCGGCTGAAAGTGGTACGGATGGAGTCCGGCTGTTTTAGCAGCTTCAATACCGCAGGCTGGCTCACACCAAAGAGACATGCCGCATCGTGGGTACTGACTCTGGGACTTCGTCTGTTAAAATGGTTCGAAACATTAGGGTCCGCGGGGTTACGGATCCCAAAGGCCCGCATACGAGGTATGTTCTTCGTCGCATACTTTCTCCGAATTACGCTTATGTAGGTTCTCACCAGTCAGAAGATAAACTCGTACCATCTCGTAAAACTCACGACGGCGGGCGCGTTGCGTGCGCGGGAACGCGAGGGCACGTCACATCGGCGCGTGCGTATGAGCCTCACTGCCGCGTCGCTCGGTCCCGGCGGGGCGGCGGGGGCTGTGGCGGGGTGCTGCCGGGCGCGGCGGGGATGCACGGTGGTATACGCAAGAGAAGACGTTTTCATTGAAGTTTTATTTTAAAAAATGTGTCCATATTCTACCGTTTCGATAGGGATAAAAATATTAAAAAAAAAATTAATCTAATTATGGAAAAGTGTTCTAGTACTGATACTGAATCACCAAAAAAAATATTTGCACCAACCATTTAAATGACAAAAAGTAATAAGAAGAACGAGATACAGAAATGCGTACCAGTGTGCAGCAGCTAAGAAAAGAATGTAGCTCTAGGCACCGATTTTCAGCATTTCATATTGTTGGTGCCTCTAGAAGACAATGGACACTTCATTTTTAAAATGTGAGTTAACTTACTAGTGGATTTATAAAAAAATAATGAAGTTCGTATAAAAATAGTAAAAAATAGTTTATTGTCAAAGCTACAAATGAAATTTGGACCTTCGTAGCCAAACCTTTATCAATCCACTGACGGAATGATGCTACTCGCGTGAATATCGACGTCTTATCGAAGTTCTTACCGCTAACCACACCCACTAGAAGCGCATTCTTCTTCTGTTGCCTCTCCGTTGGATCCTTAGTTCCTTTACAAATTAAAGGACCTCCAGAATCCCCATAACTTATATCGCTCATGTACGAATAAGTGCAGATAAACTTGTCCATGTTCATTTCCCATATCGAAGAGCAATTTTTCTTTGACAACAGAAACATTTGTCCTATCAAAAGGACAGGTGAAATTCTTTGCTTATTCATCGCGTCTGCAATACTTCCGAAGCCAGCTGCAGTACAACCTAATGGATAGTCAATATTCCTCCTTGCCGGCAGAATATAGTCTACATTCTCTTTAAAAATCCATGGTTCATTTACTAAGACCACAGCTATGTCGTTTTCGGGGAAATAAAATTCTGGGTGGATTGAAATCTTCGTTATCTTTCGCCATTGGCATTTATCTGTAGTATCTGTGTTACCAGTATGGATTAGTTCAGTGAGGAATTCTCCAGCGACAACCCGTAGTTTCTGGGGATGTTTCTTGTAATAGAAGTTTTTGCGTTCGAAGCAGTGTGCTGCAGTGAGCACTTTTATTGGACCAATTATTGTTCCACCGCAAATATTTGACCACATTTTCTTTAGTTTGGATACTTTGAGCAATTGCTCTTTAATGGACACGATGAATGGCACTTGGCCCCACTTAGCTGGTACTCCATTGACAACTGTAGGCCGAGCGTATTTCTTCGAGGAGTATTTCAGAGTGGTGATGATGCGATTGTCGGGTTCATTTGATGTGTTATTAATTAAAAATATCAATATGAAGGTCAATACATTTATCATTAGGACTGGATTTAGTTTTACAGTCGTGATAAAACGTAGATGTTGGTAAATGATATCTTCTTCTTTTTCTTTTACTAATGGCTTATCTGTACATTTCGCACAATTCTGTCTATGTCAAGTGAATAAATAAATTTCTACATGTAAAATGAAAATGAAACGAATGACATGTTCGCACCTTGACATCGATCAAGAATTGATGTCAAGGTCAAAGAGTCTTCTTCTTAACTTTAATGGCACTTTGCGTCACCAAAGGTCAAAGAGTCAAGATATAGGTATTTCTTTTCTCTCGATAGAGGATAGAGTAAAGCGCAGTAATGAAATGTATGAATTTTTATATATTTCTGTGGAGAAAAGCATATCTACGGAAACAAGTTTATGAAGGCTTTTATGTTTAAAACGTAGATTTATTTGGTTTATAAGATTCCTGCAACAACACTGCATCAAGAATACTATAGTGATTCTCTGTCGTATTCTTAGAGTAGGCTATAGAATCTGTTTCATGTAATCGATTTCAAACCTTAATACAGTGCGAGCTAAGTCAAAAATAGATTGTGGAAATTTGTTATTTAATTGGGTTTCGCCTTGAATTTTTTTATTTCTGTAGGGGACGTGTGTAGTGTGTTTTGGGATGGTCTGGGATGTGTTCGATGTGTAATGTGTTAATAAATTTATTCTTTGACTAAATCTTCAACATACATTTTGTAGAAACTACTTTGATACGGATTTCAAGCTCAAATAAATGCAATAAACTTTTTCGTTTATACATTAACAAAAAGATATAATAAAATCCATTGTAATAAAAGCGGTTTGTCCATATAATTACGCGGTTCCCTATCTATCGTCCGTCTTAATTTTCTTTGAAGAGCATCCCATTTGTTCGCTAAGCTCATCCCCGTGACGAGACTGTCGACTGTTAGATAATTTGTCAACTGTTTTCCTCATTATTTATGAGGAATAAATGCTTTTTAAAGAGAACGTGTCTTTGGTAAGGAGCAGAGGGCGATCTCTGCAGGTCATCTAATTGGTCAACAATACTGACCGATCAATAAAAGCGAGCCATAGATGACGCCCGCGAACCGCACGCGGACGTATGAAGGCAGTTTATGTATTTATTTATTTAACTCTTCTACAAACGTACAAGATGGACTCCGCTACGTTCCCATGCATGCAATGCAAATACGCATCGAGAGTAAAGACGCGCTCGCTTTATTTCATACATTTTTAATCACAGAAAAAAACAAGTGCAATTTTACAAAATCATTATATCAAAACCTATTTTCGTTCTTCGGTCATTTCTGAAATTCTTTACTATCGAACCAATAATTGAAATTTTTGTTCTGTTTTTTTTTTTTTGCAAACAAAAAGATCGTATAGGTACCTACACAATAAGGTATTGTTATGCCTTTAGATGGAAAAAACCCTCTTATGATAGTTCTTCGTATTTCAACTCTTGGTATTTCAAAGAGATCTTAGTATTTCAACTCTTGGTATTTCAAAGAGCTGTATGTTTATTAACGTGGTTTCAAAGAAAATATTTTCTTTATTCAACCGTAAACTTTGTGATAACTCTTCAAAAATTACTTCAACACAATTTGTCATCAAACTAAATTTTACAGAACTAATACCTACGCATTAAATACTCAGCATTTAATAAGGGTATAGACAGTAAACGAAAATAAATATATAGGTATAATTATATTATTTTCTGGTAGTTTTTTATATACTATTACCCATAATCACATTTTTATGCTTATTATATTTATAATATTGCTTAAAATAATTATGAAAATATATATATATATACTTGTTATCTCGCAAATTTCTATGATCCAAAGAGAGGTGATTTAAAGGCATGCAAATCAGAAAGACTTGCAACGACCTTTTTTTGTCCATAGAGAAACTTACACAGTTACAAACTTTGGTGCTTACTTAAATCATATATCTTTTGACGGATAATAAATCCTAGGAATGAGTACCTGTCAGCGAAGAATAAATGATATATTTTCTATGGAATAGTTTTCAAATACATATTAAATTTTTTGATGTTTTCGTATGGAGTAAATTGTGTTACAATTCATGTAGCTCATTATCAAGAAGCATAGTATATTTTTAATACTTTGTATATTAGCGGTTTTTGGCCCATTCAAAATGTGATGAATAGGTAATACAATAAATATTCAATAGGTACACGATGATATGAATAAAATCTGCTCTAAATGTTTACTTAAATCTTTGAGTGCTTTTATATTAATTACTGCTATTTTACCAATGACTGTGAGCTTCAGCGACAATAGGGTCATAACCACGTTGAAGTATTCCAAATATAGAGTCAAACCCACCATAGTAAACGGTGAGGCTGTGCAAAATAAAAGGGTGCCATATGTCGTGTCCATCAAGGTCATCAACCGTAGAGTTGAATACGACAAATGGCTCTGGCTCAATTTATGCGGTGGCAGTATAATAAGCGACTACAAAGTATTGACAGCGGCGCATTGTTTCGAATCAAACAAATTCTACTTTGTTAACCACCCTAAGTTTTTGAGGATAGTGGCGGGCTGCGAGAAAACAGACATCGTTCACTCCGGCAAAACAGAGACCACAGACGAAGGACAATGGAGGAAAATCGAAAGAGTTGTTCTTAACAAGAACTTCTTGTTCCCTTACAATGATATCGCTCTGGTGTTTGTGGATGAAAAGTGGCGTTTTAATCAATTTGTTAATTACATAACACCAGCTGTGAGATCTGCGGATTATCCTGACACGTGTTATTCGGCAGGATACGGAAAGTTGTCTGATAAATTCTTTGAAATTGATGCACCATACTTGTTATTGGCGCGCATAAGAGTGTTGCCGAGATGGCAATGCTCTGTATTATGGGAAATGAATATGAATAAATTTATTTGCACTGATAGCACGCTCGGTGACGTGGCGAAGGGTGATTCTGGTGGGCCTTTGGCGTGCAGAGGTATAACGAATGTGGGGCAAGAGCGCGATGAAGTATTGGTCGGAATAGTGAGCGGAAAGAATTTTGATAAAACAACTTTGTATACAAGAGTATCTGCTTATCACGATTGGATTCTTTCAGATTGCTGTACCACTCAAATGGCACCACCAATGTTAATTGTAATATTAATTAAAGTACTACTTTTAATATATCTTTTGATTCTGTTGTACTTTTTGTTCTGTGGAGCGTAGGATAATGACTTTGCTTAGGAAGTCCTAAGTAACAAGGACAGGTTATTAAAATATGCAAAATAGCTCGATGTTTTACAGTCGATTTGAAATAGACTGTGAGGAGTGTCTCAGTGGTCATATTTTCAGAGCGAAATGTTTTAAGCCCTTATTGTTTATACACGTGAAAAGGTGTAAGGCAATTTTGTCAAAAAATACTCATTTTTCTAATCAACGGTTGCTACATAATGGGTCCCATGGGACAGGCCAACCAATCCTTTACTTCACTGTTATATAGCTCGTATGTTAGTGCTTTGGTAAAGAATTGGCAAAATACAAATTATTCATGCTACTAAAAAAAGAAAGACGTTCATTGCCCACACAGTAGGTACATACTAAAATAATTTAATATGGGGAAAAAATATTTTATATTTATTGATTTTATGATTTCCGTAGCCGAGTGGTTTACAAGGTCACCGGACAAGATTACTTAGGTCCCGGATTCGATTCTCGGTAGAGTAATACAATAGAGACAATAGTCTCGGGTCAGGGTGCTGTGGTACCTCCGTTGTCTCAGATTCGGGGGCTTACTTACTCATCTCGGAATCTGGGCAATGTATGTGATATTGTCTAGTATTTAATTATTTTAATTTGCGGTTTTAATTTAGAAAATATGTAGAAATAATAAATTGATAAAATAAAATCAGTCGTTTATTCAGTTTAGACTGCTACAAGCACCTTTGAAAGTCGAAACTCTATATTATTGTTTCCTAAATCTACGACGGGAGACCTTGTACTGAGAAGAACCGGCAAAATCGATGAGGTAATTCAATTATTATATTTTATCAACCTTGCATTCACAATGTTATATTAAACACTTGACCGTTATTTGAAACTTTATGGTTTGAGATAGGCTCTATGGTTTCCTGCTTGCCTATTTGCCTCTCTTTCTACATATTTTGCCTTTCACTCGCACATCTGACGTCTACTCGACCACCAGGCAGGCTTTGCGCGCTTGCTTCATTGGCGTCTTGTTTCCTGCAGCGCACGGACGTGCTTCAACGGGTATCTAGTGAGTACATTAACGAATCTTTCTTCTTAGAAGTCAATTGTTGTAGATACCCTAGCCTCTTTTATTATATTTAAAATTCATGAAATGAATTCAAAAAATTTTTATTTATTTTTTCAAAGTAATAATTTTATATTTGGTTTTTTATACGACCTCCGTAGCCGAGTGGTTCGCACGCCGGTTTCAAGGTGTCGCCATCTCTGAGGTCCCGGGTTCGATTCTCGGTCGGGTCAATGTAGAAAATGAACTTTTCTATATTGTCTCGGGTCTGGGTGAGTCTCATATACTCCATAATATGGGAGCTTTAGCTACTCATCTTGGAATCTGAGCAATGCATGTGATTTTTTTTTATATATTATATATATACAAGTACGTAAATCTACAATTTTGCCAACCATATATGAATCATTTTTGATCAATAGGGTAGACTTTACTTTCTTTTGAAATTGTTCAATTTCAAATGTGTAATTATTTATTTTTAGAATTTATCAACTACCCTCTTTTTGCAATAATAAAATTCTTTTATCTAGATATTTTCAGAGAATCATTAAATCATTAACTTTATAATGAATAATTCAAATGATGGAAATGTTTACAGTAATAATGAGAATACATTACATAGTGATACGGCTAATAACGGATCTCACAATCGAACAAAGAAACGAAATAAGCGTTGTCGCAGTGCCTCGAGTAGTAGCTCTTCGAGCTCCTCGTGTAGTTCTTTGTCATCCTCATCGTCTTGTACAGAACCTGTGCGGTCAAAGCGTAACCGTCAACGCGAGATCGTCGTTTCAGTAAATTAATTCGCGAAGTGTGTCCTACGTAAACGAGTGTCTTATTACGATATGCCATCTACGTCGCGTTCGAATCGTAATTACGAAGAAATTATAGATGGTAACGATAGCGAAGAGTTACTTCGAGATTGTAACGTTAGCATTTATTCTCAACCCGGTTTTAATTTTGAAATCGAAACAAAGTTAAAGGAACCCTCATTTCCTAAAAACATCAAAGTTTTTTTTTTTAAATATTAATAGATATTCAGTAGTTTCATAATAACGAACGGTGTTAAGTCCGTTATGCAGACACTCGGAAATCTTATAATCTTTCACCCGCATTAACTGATTTAGACGTTAATGATGAATTAAAGATATTTGAATGATAAACCATTTGCTGCGTTAACTTTTGTGTACTGAAGCAACGCGATGCTTTATAAACAGCCTTACGATCTTTGCTGCAATAGGGACACGATAAAACCGTGTTCCATTATGTGCAATTTCATGAAATCAATTCCTCTGAAATGCTACAAATTATTTGTGGTGATAAGGCCTAAGTAATACAGATGAGGAGAGACGCTATTGTAAATTTCGTTCGAGATCCGTTAATTAAAGTAGCCTTAAGAAAAATTCCGCCATACTGCTAACAAGGCTAACGAACCTCCCCTCGCTGGGGCAGGTATTTCTCAATGCTCCCTCGCAGGGAAGCGCTCATGGATATTGTGCATCTACGCATATTTCCCATGTAAATCAACCTCCGTAAGGTTGGTATCAACCTCGTTCCTCGCAGGGACAGAAGGTACAAAGCAGAACATTTATTCAAACAAGAGGAATTTACTACCCTCCTATAAAAACAGGTAGAGTGCGAAAAGCTTTTGTGATCTTGAACAAAGCAGACTAACGAACCTCCCCTCGCTGGGGCAGGTATTACTCAATGCTCCCTCGCAGGGAAGCGCTCATGGATATTGTGCAACTACGCATATTTCCCATGCAAATCAACTACCGCAAGGTTGGTATCAACCTCGTTCCTCGCAGGGACAGAAGGTACAAAGCACAACATTTATTCAAACAAGAGGAATTGACTACCCTCCTATAAAAAACAGGTAGAGTGCGGAAAGCTTTTGTGATCTTGAACAAAGCAGGCTAACGTACCTCCCCTCGCTGGGGCAGGTATTTCTCAATGCTCCCTCGCAGGGAAGCGCTCATGGATATTGTGCATCTACGCATATTTCCCATGCAAATCAACCTTCGCAAGGTTGGTATCAACCTTGTTCCTCGCAGGGACAGAAGGCGACAAGTAGTGATTTTCATTCGGCCACTTTATACAATAGAGGCTTTGGTGCAAAGAAGGTCGTTTGAACAATAGAGATCACGATCACAATAGAGGACGTAAACATACAGGTCCATCCATTGAGAATAATGCGCACGCAATTAATGTAAGTTTTGACAAACAGGCACTCAAAGGGGGCCAGTTGTCGCAATATCATCACCGTTGGCGTTACTGGGCGCTCCATATTATATTTTGAGGCTCAATCAGGGGTATCGCATACCCTTTCTTCGGGGGTATCGCAAAGTCGTAGTTGTACCAAATCCTCATGACATTCGGTTTGCCACTCCTATCACCGACACAATGACATCGTTAATATTACTATTATAGAGTCAAGCTGTTCTCGAACCAGTCAAAATAGCACCACGCTTTCTTTCAAAGATGTTGCTTGTTCTAAAGACCGATGGCTCTCCACGGCCCATTTTCAACCGTTAAACGATTTTGTCATAACAGCCCCAAAAGTCACAAACTGGGTAGCCCAAAGTCTACGAGCAGAGGGGATACGTATAACTGTTACTGGGACGATTTTCCCATGACCCACTAAGATCAGCAGGTCTTACAATTTCGAGCTCAGCTCTCGAAAGAAAGCAGTTTCTTGAGTGGCAAGTAAATCTGGAAAAATCTATACTAGTTCCTCAACAAAGCCTTGTTTTTCAGGGGATGAAAGTAGCGCAGCAAAAAGAATTACAGCCTTATCGGCCTATTTAATTTTTCCAGCTTCGTAATCCCTCAAGGGCGATTACATATATACATATATATACCAATCCACCCTTCTATGGCAAAGCGACAACAAAACAGCTATTGCTTACATTCGAAACGAAGGTGGAACAAAATCCGCATCTCTGATAAATATGGCTTACCAAAACTTTCAGTTAATGAAGCTGCATTTAATTTGAATAATTGTGTATCACATACCGGGAAGGTACAACGGCCATGCAGATCATCTATCTCGTTTCTGATTACCACCAGAGTGGCATCTTCTACCTGCATGTGCAGAAATTGTGTTCAAAAAGTTTGGTGTGCCTGTGATAGATTTATTTGCATCAAAGACTGCTCATGTCGTTGCGAATTATGTTTTTTGGACCAAAACGATGTTTATTCAATTTATCACGGAGCTTTTTCCCGTTAATAGAACTATGCGAAAGGTTGGATTTTCCTTCCTCCTTATCTAATTTTCAAAGAATTTAGTCACCTCAACAAAGCTCAAGGCACTTATTTCGTCAATGGGATCGAGTAATTTGGTGAGCAGGTCTGAAATCCAGAGCATTGGTTCCACCGTTTACCATACCCCACCTAAGTCGTTACCTGATAGATACCTCAACGAATTTTTCCATCTTCGAAAGTACAAGAGATGATATTGGTAGTGTGGATTTGTAGGGCTGGTCAAGTAACGTAACTGACAGCTCAATCTTTTACAATCATCATGGCGTTCATCTACGCGCAAGACATATAGGGCAGCCTGGCTTAGATGGCTTAAATGGAACAAGCTACATAAGTTTAATGCTTTTCAACGTAATGGTTCAGTATAAGCAAGGTTTTTAGCTTATTTATACCTTAAAGAATTATTCTCTTATTTATAACACAGTATTGTTACGTAATATCCACGTTGTGTAATACAGAACTATCAGGTTCCCATAGTTCTCACGTGTTTATTCGACACGTTGTTACGTCAATTTCTTTTAAAAACCCCGTAACACACAAAACGTCTGTTTGGGATGTTGATAATAATCATATGTCTTTTTTAAAACATTATACTTTGACAAAGAAAGCAAATTCTTAGTCTCTGGACACACTGCAATATGACTTTGTTTAGGTCGTAGAGTTCATGACCTTACTTTATTAGCAGTAGATTTTG